TGAAATAGTCAATAGAAAAATTGTTCAGCTCATGATTATTAATGAGGGGGGGGGGGGTTGCCCCATGTGGAGTGACGTCACCCACTAATGGTTTTTGGGGAGGGGTGCGACATGTGGAGTGACGTCACCCCCTCATGATTATTAATGAGCGGAGGGGTGCAGCACGTGAGCTCGACCTTCCTCTGCGTTCGTGTAAAAATCCACCCACTCATGAATATTAATTAGGGGGGGTGGGCCTCATGTGGAGTGACGTCACGCGCGGGACGGACAGACATTTCTGGGTGATTTTAATAGGTAATTATTCAAAGGTCTTAGTTCAGCTGCAAAAAATGGCTCATTGTTTTCACTTCATTACGTGGGGAAATGCATTTTATACTCGTGCTTTTATGGTGAAAGCTAAGAGTGCAGTGTTAAGTATGGGATGAAGAAATATGTTTCCTTGGTGATTCAACTAATATTGAAAGTTAACTGAACATGCGATACTGATAGTTAGCAGCCGTGTCAAACTGGCCTCGTTATGACGAAGTGTTGCATTCATTTGCCTGACAAAGAGAAGTGATTACAAAGTAGCTGCAACCACGAGCAAACTTTCCATTATGAACCCACTGACCTGAGCTTGATTCTCAGTCGTGGTTAAACAGCAGTGGTGAGTGATACCCTTTACCAATCCGCACAGACAAGCGTGATGAAGTACACTCCAGTCAAACAACCTCCACGACCAGCGTGGAGTAGGGATGCCTTCATTCCCAAATGGATTAACGAAGTGCGGTAAATGAATGCACTTATTTAATCATTATCGTAGTTTTCCGTAAAAAACAAATTTCCCCTGAAAATTATATTGCTCATTTTTTTAAGTTTCAACAATAGTACTTTTTGTAACTGGTATTACTGGTAGGAACGAAGTTGTAAACTGAGTGTACCAGCCTGCAATAGATTAATGTGTCCGTCCGTCCGTCCCCTTTCAATACTTTAACGAGGTGAAATATCGTGCTCTTGGGTGTAAAATCGGCAATAGACAGCGCAGAGACTTGTCCTACCAGCCCACCCTGCAGGGACCTGTTAATATAAATGTTAACATTGGAGAGCACCTTAACAGGTCCCTGCAGGGTGGGCTGGTAGGAACATTGGAATTTTGCGCAATTTTATTTTTACACCCCAACAGCACGAGATTTCACTTCGTTAAAGTATTGAAAGGGGACGGACGGACACATTCATCTATTGCAGGCTGGTACACTCAGTTTACAACTTCGTTCCTACCAGTATAATTTCATCATTATCAGCAATTGCATATCGATTGTTGGATGAAGGGCTTTCCATGTGATCTATGTAACACGATTTTTGTTTCTGGGTAGTGTTATTTTCTAATTGCTTATGCTTCAAACGTATAGAAAATGGCTATTATTCCCCACAAACTTTGCTTTTGTGACCAGGACTTTACATGAAGGAATGACACAAATGCACACCACGTTTTCTCATTGAAAATAGGTACATTTCAAAATATCACTGTCCTGGTCACAAAAGCAAAATTTGTGGCGAATAATAGCCATTTTCTGTATTTTTGAAGCATAAGCTATTAGGAAATAGCACTACCCAGGAACAAAAAATAAATAAATGTGTTACACAGTGTTAGTAATGGAGTGGATTATTAACTTTGCTTTTGTGTCCTGGTAAAAAAAAAGCAAAGTTTGTGGGGAATATTTCGATTTAAAGCTTTCGTGACTGCAATGATTCATCTTCTTGGTTCTTTCGGTAAAGTCACGTAGAATGAGAATAAAATAATAAATTGATAAAATAAAATAACACAATAATATTCTCACGACGTTTCGGCCACAACACAAGCGGCCTTCATCAGGTGAAGGGGGCGAGACTGTCTGGTAGGACAGCGCTGGAGTGAGAGAGCCACGTTCAGATCACGGCTTTTAAGCTGTGTGAGAGGAACAAAGAGCCTTGACGAAGGAATTAGCATAAAATTTAGCATTGAAATGGCTGAATGATTAGCTTGTGACTGGTCACAGAAATAGCTATGTTAAAAGTTAAAGCATACACATCCGCAGAGGCACCCATTGTTAAAAGGAATTAGCATAGAATTTAGCATTGAAATAGCTAAGTTAAGGCATACACATCCGCAGAGGCACCCCTTGACAATGGGATTAGCATAGAATTTAGCATTGAAATGGCTGAGTGATTCGCTTGTAACTGCTACAGAAATAGTTACGTTGAAGTCAGAGCATACACATTCACCGAGGCACTTAGTACAAATCAAACAGGAGAATTTAGCATTGAAATAACTAGGCGAATTTAGCATTGAAATAACTGGGTGATTTGCTAGTGACTGGTCACAGAAATGACTACACATCTGAGCTATTCACAGTACTATATAGTGAACCAATAAAAACTAAAATATAAATTACCTTCATGTTATCAATAAACTCTATATTCTCCAATCAGCTAAGCTATCAACCATAAGTCGTTATATATCACAATGCTATATGGCGAAAAAATGGGTGGATTCTTACCCTCAAATTTCCGTACCACGGATAGCTACGGGCCCCGTTCAGACGGACGAGTTCGTCCATGGTCGGAACAGAGGAAGGGGAGAGAGACAGCTGCGAAGCCCTAGTATACTCCATGTTGTAAACCATACCATTAACCGTGGTGTGAGAGGTATCAAGAGGCAATGCTGGCGAAAGAGCTGCGGTCTGAAGGTCATCGTAAAATTACAATTAATTAAGAACAGAAATGATTTAACACATCTTTCCAGTGGTTACTAAGCCTGAATCCATCTTCTCGGTTGAAATTGTCTCTGTGCTTGTATATGTGAATGGCCTCATGAACGAATCTCTCATGGTAGCCAGTTGGTTTGCAAAGAACCTCCGTCTTGGAGAAGTCAATGTCATGTGAGCCCACTGAATTGTAACAGTGATCTGCCACGGCAGAGGAGTTCGTCTTACCGTGTTTTAAGTCTGCTTTATGTTCGCGGATGCGGTCCGAGATATGTCTTTTGGTTTCTCCAATGTAGCTACTACCACAGAGGCACTTTAGTTTGTAAACGCCCGGGTACTGTATGTCTGGAAGAGCATCTTTTACAGATGGAACTAAATCACGGATTTTGTGAACTGTGTTGAATCGGACCTGGATCTTGTGTTTATTCAGGATTTTGGAGATCTTTTTAGTGACCCCTGCAATGTAGGGTAAGGTGATGGTTTTGAGTGGCTCCACAAGAGGATCCTTCTTCATGACTGGAGTGATGGCTTTGCGGATTGTGTAGTCGGAGTAGCCATTAGCCCTGAGAGCCTGGTGTACGTGCTTGAGTTCACTGGTAATGTGTTCCTGGTCGGAAATGCATTGGGCTCTATGGTATAGAGTCTTGATGAGGCAGTTCTTCTGGGATGGATGGTGGTGGGAATCCGGTTTCAAGTAAGCATCTGTATGGGTAGCTTTCCTGTAGACAGAGTGGCTCATTGAACCATCATGTCTCCTTTTAATTAAGACATCCAGAAAGGGTAGTTTGCCATCTTTTTCGACCTCCATGGTAAATCTGATGGCTGGGTGTATGGAATTGATGTGGTCGCGGAATTGGTCTATATCCAATTTCTGTACTTTTGAGGCATAAGCAATTCGAAAATGACACTTACTTCCCAGGAGCAAACAACAATAGGTTTTCATCATTAGACCTCCTTTGCCAGCACCAAAATATAATAATAGGGTTTTCCCCCTTTTTTATGGCAACAAAACTGAAACCTTTTTATGAGGATTCATGTCTGCATGAATCCCTTGGTTTGGACCAATCAGTTTCAAGGACAATGCATATATTATCATATTATGTTTTTTTGTTTTGCATTTTGACTGCAGGTATTGTGGTTAATGCAGTAACATGAATCCTCGCAAAAAAAGTTTCATTTTGTTGCTAGAAAAAACGGGGAAAACCCTATTATAACAATATTTTGTTACACAGTATCCCTCACGGGCCAGTGATGCCACATTACATCTCAATCGTGCACTTGAGCTGATCTCTTTCCTCCATCTCTGTGGTGAACATGTTTTCAGGCATGGGACCCCTCTTTTGGCTACCACTGTCACCAGACTTGACCATTAGTGACGATGCCGCACCTCCGATTAGCACGGTTGGCTATGTACAGTGTGAAAGAAGTTCAACATACATGCTGTACATCCCTTCAGTATATCGTGCTTCGGCCCCTTTTTATTAAGTCAATGTGATGTCTCTGACGTGTCCCCTGGTTACTCTCAATGTAATCCCAGCATCTCAGCAATGCAACTCTCTGCTCGTCTTTGCATACCTTAACGCTTTCATTCCACGTGCGTGCTGTCACATTTCCCTTTTTCCAATCCATAGGCCACGGCAGGTGCTATACACAATGTTGCTTTTCATTATCAAATAACATTTTGCACAATCACTCCAACCTGTTCTCAACTCACCTATTTAACTAGTTTCATCCCAGTCCAACTTCAATAATATGCCCTATGTGTTTTCAATTGTGTCCATTCAACAATTGTTATATTAGTTAAACTAAATCGTTTTATTGTGTTCGTAATTTGAAAAAATGTATCATTACATTTGTTTTGCCAGAGAAGCATCGATGCCTCATGGACCCTTGTTCATGAGGGTCCTTCCATGTTTTTGCAGTTGCGGTGCAATGGTTGCCATGTACTAGACATCAATAGCTTCATAGTTAATCGGATTCCTGCAGTCTATATAAAAATTCTGATTCTGTCCACTGTGAAGCAGACAGCACATATTTGTACGGTTAGTACACGCCAACAGTTTTAATCAGGGTGGCCGCTGGATTCGAACCGACTCTTTGTCTCTCAAATATTTTTTACTGCCTTGTAGGTGTTGTGTTAATGTTATTACGTCATTGTCAATGTTTTTCTATCTTCGTGAATTATGACATTTCTCCTTGTGAAGTCAAAAACGACTTTCATGAATATCAGGATCAAAAGCTATTTTGGGGGGAAAAAGCATTGGCACAAGTAGAAAGCAGAGTTTTTCCTTAATTTATTTTCCGTAGTATTACAAGGTAAAACAGATTTACAATGCATGACTATCGACATGAGATACCGCTGGTTAAAACGTATGTCAAAAAGTCAAACAACCTTCACAGAAAAATGTCAGTACTGTATAGAGTAGAAATACTATGCATGACGTAGGACGATGCAGGAATTAATGCTTGTTATTTTCAGGCTTGCAATAACATAGGACAAACAAAATCAACATTCACCAAAAAAACTGCAACAGCCTAAATGTACATATTTCTTTCGTCCATTTACTGGCATATGTTTGCAGTGCTTTGTAGTTTATGAGCATAATTTCCATTAATTAGCAGCTTTCTAATGATATTACAGATTCCAAGCATTTTCCATGTGTTTTGTTTTTACTTTTAAAATATAGGGGGTCAATAAAACTATACCCACACACTCGGGAGTACAAGCATTTTATTGTAGGAGTTTCATCCCTCTAATAATCTCAACCTCTACATATCTGGTATGGCAACACGCAGTCTCGCGATTTGAGAGTTCCCAGAACATCTCCAGTTTAAAATGCTTCCTCTGCACATTGGTGAATGTTCCTCGCGCGGTTCGTTTTTTGGCATGTTATTTTGTACAGAATCTAACCATGCAACTCAAACTGCTGTATAATAACTCTTTGATAATGGATGATACCTTCATGGACACCCTGTAAACTATTGTGGCGGTTGCACCAAGGGATGCAGTGTGACTACTACATAAGCTAGGACTCGCACGTGCCCTTGGCATCTCTCACGTATTCAATTCACACCCTTTGATCACATGCGATGGTTTACATTACAAATGTAAAATCCTGCACCGCAATATTGGTGCCGTTCACAATCATTGAATTCCTCATTAGCTGTATTAAACTTTTAAGACATTTCACAATGTTGTCCAACTTTGATGTATATCGTGCAGCTGAAAAGAACAAAGGTAGGTAAGTCTACTTTCTTCCAGTGGCTCACATCCTGTTGTGAGCAACGTACACTCGCAGATATCACCCGACATGAATGCATTTTCCAATCCCATGCTACCGTCTATGATGGTTAAAACAGTGTGCATTGCTTTTAATGACAGCGGTAGACAATGCTCAGTATAACAACAAAAAGTTTTTCATGGATTCTGCACCAAATGCAAAATAAGATCATTTATTGGAGCACAAGTATGTCAAGCCAAGGGTTGCAACAGGTAAGTTAACACAACGATTGCACTATCATTGTTGTCCCTTCCACAGCTCAAATGTGCATATATTCTACTTGTAGACCTAACATGGTTTAGTTGTAACTGTTCTTTGAAACCCAACTCATGAACTAATTTTTATTATACTGATCGGACGGATTTATTCTGCAACTTTTTTGCCAAAAATGTTGATGTTTGATAGACTACTGTCATCAGTCCAGATACATTTAATTACTGGTCAGTAAGCTTTAACTTCATTTAGATATTTCTACACTTTCCTGTGATCATGTCGCCATATAAATGCAAATGTCACTTCTATAATTATGCAAGGTATGCTCTTCATCGCCTATTTTGAAATTAGGAGTGTCAATAAACCTGTGGATGATGAATGTAAAACCAAACGTCACTGTTCAGCAATGTATGAAAAAACTCCCTCCCGAATGTGTGCACTATGGCACACACATTTTTAGTTATGAATATCAGTTGCCAAATTAGGTATGTAATTAGAGCATGCAAAAGGTGTTTGTATGCTCGCATGGTATTGTTTCGTTTGTTGGGGGTAATTGCTTTAATTGCTTTTACACCAATGTGCCTGCAGATCTAATGTGAAACATTATGCAATGGCTATTCCACGTGCTTTGGTAAATTAAATGGGCCAGGTGGAGTTTCGGTGTTTGCCCGCCCCGTTTTCCTATTCATGTTTCTGGCTTGATCAAGGTTTAGGCCAGATTGTATTATCAATGCTACAAGGAACATTAAAAGTATATGTATATCCATCCAAGCACTACAGCTACACAATAATGTGGTTAATGTTTAATATGTAATGCCATTGTACTGAACTCAAATTTAAACATTGAATGCATAAAATGTTAAAAAAGTGTGTGGGTATGTTTTTACAGTGTAGCATGCATTGTGCATACAATGTTATTGTATTGCAGCAAGATTGGAAATTCGTGGCCTTTATAGATGTCTAGGGCTGTGCAGATGTGGTCAAATTGCTGTTTTTATTTTTTTATGGGAACATCAGTATGAGAATCAAAGTGGCGGAGGGGTTGGGTAGTTTTATCAGTGACAAGCCATAGGGAGCCTGCAGGCACAAACACATACCGAGGCATTGGAGAACTGCATGGAAGGAGCCCATAATTCAAATAAAAGGGAAAATGGCTTTCTCAATGACAACCAAATCAGAACCACCTGTACACTTTGACAGCAGCACTTACTATTGGTGGCAGCATACTTACAAAACGTTTTATGCCAAAAGATCAACAAACTCTGAGTGCCATCCCAAGCATTTTTGACATTTCCTTTATCATTGAAATTCTAACACTTGTCAGTACTGCTCCTGTGATTGCGCCCGGAATGAAAATGGAGTGTGTCACCTGTAACCCTTAGATTACAGTTCTGTGCCCTGACGTCAGCGCTAAAAAATCAACTACTCAGGTCCTCGTGATGCAAACACCTATTTTGTTAAAATGGGTCAAAAGAGCTAGATCTTCGCAGATGGTGGAAATTGGTACCACCGCTTTGCCTACACATATTACTCGTGTTCTCAAGAATTCGCTCGAGTGGACAGTAGTTTATAAGCTAAGATGTGCATTACTGATTACCAATAAGATTTTAGGTCGTCGGTGAAGCACAATACACATTCCTGGCATGTCATTCTACCAATTTCCATACATACATGGCAAGCCAGCCTATTGTTCATTTAATACTGAAGATGTCAAGCTTCCATCTATATCAGTATCACTTGTGTCTTAGGCAGTGGTGTGGCCTAGCCGAGAGCACGTTTGCCGCTTGTTGCAGAGGTTCACGGTTCTAATCCAGCGGCCGCCCTGATTACTATGGTTGTGTAATAATAGGTGCGGTCCGCTTCACAGTGGACGTTAAGATGTACCCTGACGTCATTTGCTCGAGAATAGCTCATTGCTTGCTGGCGTCAGGGTGCAAATTTGGCAAATTCATAAATTATCTGTAAATGACTCAATCGAGATTATACATAACAATCATTGCCCCCCTACTTGCAGAATAATGCCCCCCAGGTCACTTTTGCAGATAAATCAGACTACCCTGGTCTCGTGTGAGTTAGACAAAATAAACTATTGTGCCTTTGACTATATTTACCCACAACTATAATGGAAAGCAGATTATGAAATAAAGCCTTCAATAAAAAAAAATGTTTCATTAATGGATAGACATATATGCTTAACATCGTCTAGGTATGACAAATTTATATTTCTTTGTTTCATTTAAAACATTTAAATCGATGTTACAAGACACCAAAGCAGTCACATTGCAAAATATAAATAGTTTTATGAAACACAAATCGACAGTGTGAGACGAAACACTATTTTAAAATCCTTTGTGTTTTGGAAAATGCCTTGCTGTTCTCAGCAGCTCAATGTTCCAATTTCCAAGCGCTTAAGACGTGGACTGCACGGGAGTGACCAAGAAAAGATGGGACAGTTGATTAGATCCATACAGAACTCGCATCCATGCCTGCTAATTGCTCTAACATTTCAACATATATATATCTAAGTCCCAGTGTGAGAAGTTAGTCAATGAAATATGACCCCTGTAATGCAACCAATTTTTTTTTTAAATACGACTTTAAATAATGCAAAGATTAATCGTTACAGTATATAATAAAAACCAATAAATCAAACAAGTGCTCTTACCTGACTGTTTATGCACAGCACTGTTGCATTATATCTGTGTTGTCCCATTTTCTATTATCCTTGCCACTTTCGCTTTCAACTTGACACAAATTTGACAGGAATTTGGCTGTGAATATGACCACTTACACAAAGACGTCGAATGTTCATTTGTGGGCTCTTTGAATACTTCAACTGCCCGTTTACACGTACTTAAATATTTTTTTGTGTTTTACTGTCAAAGGTGTTAATTTCTCTGATGGTCCATATTGCTTTACATTCTTATGGTCTGCTCGTGATTATCATAAATTCCCATTAGTTAATTGGCAATGTATTTGACAATTGTCTCTTCCGCTACAAAGACAATATATCTCATTCATATACTTAAGTGAATAATTGTGATACAACACCTCTAAGTTTTACGCAAACTTTATCAACGATTCAAAATATAAATAATTTTGAAAACATTTTGTTGAGTGAGTAGTCAGGTGAAAAAAATCCCTGCCAATGCAATTGCACTGGATCAATTGTCTGATTCTCAGTTTCCCATCTGCTATTCGCAAAGCACACTGGTGCAAAAGGCATTCAAATTTCTGCGACATAACTCACAAAAGCCATTGTGTGCACGCCATAGACAAATGACAATTTTGAAATGTACTTGCAGCTTAGGTGTCCTTAAAAATACCCCGATACCTTTCCTTATAGAGTATGCAGGTTATCATTTTTTTTAGAACATCCTGTAACACTACGCAATGTAATTATTAACTCTGCCTTTGAAAAACATATATATACATAGTGGGCTCAAATCTCAAGCACTTGTCTTTTTCAGAGCAAATGATAATGTACAGCAATGAGCTGCTCAATTATAAAGTTAATTAAAATTTTAATTGTTATTTTTTTTGTTTATACAGAAAAAAACAAGTCAATGATTTAAAATTCAGTGGTCGTTCACGACTCCAGATTAGGAGTCAATAACCCTTCAATGAGTTTTTAAAAAATCCTCACAAAGGTCATGGGGTGGCAAATACATTGGCGAAATGCATCAATGTATGCTAAAAAAATATTCCTAAATGATAACAGGCATGTGTTACTCAACGAATCCGTGCACATTTAAACAAAAAAAAGCAATTCTCTGTTAACAGTAGAATTACTCAAACATGTGAAATGTGTGGTGCAGTACATTTACCCGGCTGCCCCCCATGGAAAAACTGTACAGTCCACGGCATCAGCTGGTACAAACAGAAAATTAAGATCATCAACCTGACACAGTTAAAATACTCCATATAGAAATACTGAAAAAGTGTTTTTTTCTTTTTGATTATTTTGTTTAATGTAAAATGTATAAAAGGGTGAAGAATATTTTGTGCTGATTTTTTCCGTTTCATATTTTCCCGAAGACTTTGACAGTTGATCCCAAGAATGTTCATTTTTGATCTGAAAATATAAATCCACAATGCAAAAAAACCGTTAATAAATGTGCAACTGTTAATCGCAATTCACTGTTCTTTGTTAAAGTGCACTTTTTTATTAATGCAGCTACCTTGAATTGAAGTCTGCAGACGGCGGTGACTTTATTTAATGAGACAATGCGTCGATTCATCCATTAACATATATTCTTGGGCAAATGATACATGCATATACTTTAATCATGCATGTAACAGTTGAATTTTTGTATGTTATCTGTATGTTCACATTATGCCTGTTATTAACTATTGTCACTGCAGTATATTCACCTAAATAAAAAAAACGGGATACAAATCATGACCCCCAAAATCGTGACAATTCTTGAAATCACAAGTAGAATGAATCATTACATTCCTACTCAACGCCTCTGAGCAAAATGACTCAATTACAATACGCTGCATAGGATACATTTAAAGGACAACATCGTTTGGTAAAGTAAATATATAATAACACAGGCATACTTCAACAGACTGCTATTTACGAACAAGCAGAATCTCTTGTGTTGCACATCACAATGGGATGGTTCCCACCCACCATGCAGCCTCGTTCAACAGTTGAACGTTATGTGTATTGTTTTGATTCATTCAGCCTGTTCACAATTATCCCTGCTATTTAAAATACTAGAATTTCGGCGGCCCGCAAGCTCCTACAGAGGGCTTTGCCTCCATTGATGTCCTCTTCTTCCCCACCCCCCATGTGCAGATGCTACTGACTCTATTGTATGTAGGGTGAGTAGGCATATTTGCCTATAAAATAGATTTATTTTTTTGGGGGGGTGGAGGAAGTTAATTTTTTTTTGGGGGGGGTGACAATTGTTGTTGTAAACCTGAGGGGGGGGGGGGGTCCACTGTCCTTAACGTTTTGATTAAGGCCTTCTGAAATGCTCTTGTAATTTAATTGACGGACAAACGCATAAAGGGACAAACGGAACGCCGGGATTATATAAGAGAATATTTTAGGCACAATGTAAAATGTTTTCGGAAAGAAAGCTTCGTTTTAACTTCGGGACACATACTTGAACAGTACATACTGCACCTGCTGCATTGCACATCGCTTGTTCACCAAATGTCGCCGTTTGTTGTTCGCCGGTGTGAACAAACACTGGAAAAGCTCTGTTCTTGTAATCAAAGCACCAAGCTGCATCTCCCAGGCCCCATTTGAATATTATTACATTTGCACCCATTGCATTCAAGGCCGCCGCTGAACTATAAATGCCGACGTTACATAAAAAAAAAAAGATTTGCTAAACATTCAAAACAAAATATGCCCTCATGTGAACAAAGCATATGTTTCCCTCTCCCATTTTGTGTGGGTGTTGCAAAACGTGTTGAGACGTTTTCCTATATCACGGGTCCTGCTGTGCAATTCACAGAGGGTAACGACGGTGCAGCAATAATATGCAACCGCACAGCAGACATCCGTGAACTGCTAGATGTCTAGTGACATTGGCAATGCACCATCTGAACGCTACGTCACCCTTTTTATGTCACATTCAACCCCAAACACCTCTTATGTCCGGGGAAATTAATCCAAAGATACATTTGTGGAAAAGCTTGTAATATGTTCGGTATTCATGTTGAAAATGACCCTTTCTTGTTCACTACCATTTCAGAAATCAGAATAACAATATATTCCAGTTAAGGATGGTCATAAAAAATAGCATATGAATATGGCATCCATCCAAAATAAATAAAAATCTCAAAATAAGCCCTGCAGCTAGTTGGATTGCTATACACATGCTGTATTTTAAACTTTAAAAAAGATTTGCAATACATGAAATTAATTATCCTAGTTCATGGTGCTTCTTGAGTAAAATTTCATTTTAGAGATAGGTTATATTAGAACGTGCACTCCAAAGAGTAAACAGCTCCATTTATGAAGTGTGCACTAAAATGTAAATTCAGCACTAGCCCAAGGCAATAAACAAATACTAACTTCTTACCACAAAGTAGCACTGTGTTGCACGAAAACGATCTTCTTGAAGCTGTGCTTACATCAGATACATTATTGTTTGGTGTCAATCTTAAATAACTTTCTGCCCAACATGAGTTTGTCAATTACGGTACTCTTTCCTGATATTCTAATGAACCAATGCTTTATGGATATAACATCTATTCAAGCACAAAACCAAGAGTTTCTCATAAGAAAAAAATGGTATGAATGCAAATTTCACTTGGTGTGAAATTACCACTCTTGCATGGCAAGCTCAAATATTGATTGAGTAAAAGTGTTTTTTTTTTCAAAATTGTATAATAGTGCCTTATTCCATAATAACTGCTTACACAAGCAGTTGGAGGACATACAAGGTATACTTTTTTGCTAAAGTATGATAATTAGATATCAGTTGTCGCATTCGTTTCATACCTCTGTAGCTCTATACGTCTTCCATGACGTGAGACACATTGTATCGAGATTTGAAACAGTCTCAGGTATTTGCCAACATTTTGGGTGTGATTTATCCTCATGCTTGTTTTTTTGCTGTGGAAAAATCACTCAAGGTTTTTTGTCTGACACCTCGTGGTAAAAACAACGTAAGCACATAAGGAACGTCGGGGAGCTGGGCTGATTACTCTGCCAATTATTGTTTTGATCACTCAAAGAAGCAGGAAAAAGGTCCCACCTCTGTTCCCACGTGTACCACTGGACAGGAGGCGATGGCAGGGGCTTATAATCGACATTATCAGCTGTGTCACACGGGGTGTGGCTTGTAGGGGGTTTCCCACCTTTGGGAGGGGGTGGCTGCCATTTTTATAGGGGCTCAAGTAATCGACCACAGAATGGTAGTCTATTACAATTTTGAAATGACTAATTTACTTAATTGTCTAGGCTGTAAATATTATTGCAAATATTTCAACCACACAGTTCAAACCGCTGTCGAATTAAATATATTTAAATATGGATCCATTTTTTAATACCATGTACGCTGTATTCATTCAGCACACATTTAAAGCCTCTAGAACAGGCCTTAAGATATTCATTAAACTGTTTTCGCACCTTGGCAGCACTGGGCCTGGTCACCACCGGGAATCTGGTTTATTGCAAGAGGTCCAATAGATGGCTTCATAGGGGGATTCCACTCTCCAGGTTCTGAAGCTTAACCAAATGATCTATGCACTTGGCAAGCAGAAACTGTATAGAAAGCAGTGACATGCTCAAAATAAAAATGTATCCACAATTTTGCCTTAGATAAGAATTACTTTTATAAATTATATTTTTAAAAAGAATGATGCCATGACATATGGATTAGACATATGCACTGACATAGAACATTCATTATTTTTTGTAAATGATGCAAAGAAGCTAGGAGAGTTGAATGCTGGGACGTACACGGAGAGGCAGAATGATGAACACGTGGATCATAGAACTGATGCAAATTATAAATGAGATATGAGCACGTGGATGAGATGTGATATAAATGGGGCCAAAGGAGGAAACATGGCCACCGTGGGAGACGGAGCAATGAGATCAACTCATGCGTAGGAGCAAGATGGCTTTGGCATTTCTGGACTGAGGGATGGCGGTGATATTGGAAAGTTTTCATCCAGCATTGGATAAAACATGGTTGATGATTAATAATTATTTTTCTGACGAGGAAAACTTAACTTAAGCTCAGGATTCCCCTATTTAGGGTACGGCTCGGGTTGTTTGCTGAATTCATATTTGAGTATTTTTGCATTTAATATGTAAATAAAACAATGCACAGCATTTTGTACAAGGATAAAACATCTACAACTGACGATAAAAATAAATTACCTCGATAACTTTTCATTTCCTTACATTGCTCGCGCTCAAGAATAACAATGGTCCTTTGCAAAGGCCTCTAATTATGCAGTAATACAATTAATTTCAGAGATTTTACTGAATATTCAATAGAGAGAATCGCGTAAAACAAAGCATCGCATGATTGGAATGTTTCGTTTACATCTCTGTGAGCACATAGATGCGGAATAACAGCAGTTACTATCATAGGCTTGACTGAAAATCTTGGTTCCTACCATAACCATATCTCTTTATTTAAAATAATATTTAAAAATTAAAGTAGGTCATGTCGTCTCACTTTTACCTTCCCCCGATTCGCCCATAGTTCTTCCCTTAAAAACAAAATGAAGTAAAACAAAAATCCCATTCAATCCCTGAGTAACATCAACATTTATTTTTATTAGGTTCCCCCCCACCCCAACGTGCCCCCCCCCCCACCCCGCACCCGGTCCCCATTTTTGTTAAGGGACAGGTGACTGAATTTGCTCGATTAAATATCAAAGCACTTCGTGATAAGGGCAACAAGGGACCACGAAAAGCACGCGGTGAATTGATCCCAAAGTAAATTGGCCACGCGGTGGGTTTTGGCGCTCAGGGCGATGGGCGCTGCTACCTTCCTCGTCCCAGCCTTCCGACACCCCCGCCAGCTCGTAGTGCTTCTTACGCAGGCCCCCCAGGTGCTCGCGCTCCTTCTGCAGCAGGCTCTCCAGCTCCAGCACCCGTACCTGGGGCGTGAGCATCGTCCACAGAAACGATCCCCAAAAATTTAACATTGCAATTGTCAGTTTCAATTACGAGATTTATAATCTCCCAAGAGGTTTTAACTCTCAAATGGAATTCGATGAAAAAAATCACGATGGGGGGCGGGGGGGGGGGTTGGGATTCGATTTTAAATATTTATATATATTTACATTGTGATACAATGTGCACATCTCAAATGGCTGAAGGGGTCATGGAACTAATTACATACAACATATGTAAACTAAAATTAACAATTCAAGATTATATGCATATATCATGAGCATAACAATCAATTTCAGTTGCCGAATCAATATTGCATAAAGGGGTCCCCAAAACGTGTCCATCTTGCCTTAATTGTTGGTTCAACAGTGCACACATTTCAAATGGCAACAGTAAAATTAATAAAAACATCGTGAAAAGCTACAATTAGTCCAGCATGACCTGATGAGGCTGGGGTGTGCTAGATGACAAAATGAGGTCGATGTATGTGGCTTGGATTGAGGTGAGTCTGGGGTGTGCGGGCTTGACTGGTGAGTATGTAGTCACCCATCTTCAACCTCTATATGACAACAGTGACCACCACTTGGCCACCTTACCTGGGAGTCCATCTCTTGTCTCTTCACTTGAGTCAGAGTCATGCTGGAGAAGTCCATTGTTTCTGCAACAAAACATAATTTTTCTGTACAGTATAGCCTAAACCGAGGAAAATCATGCAAACACAGAACCCCAATATATTCTTGACATACATGCACAAGGGTAGACAGTGCTGCAAAAAAAATCACCACATTAAACACATTTGTTTTACCAAAACCCATTTCAGAGCCAAGCATAAATACCACCTACACTTACATTCCTCAAATCATCACTCACAACTGGGAAGCTGTATAACCTTTGATATCCAAGCACGTTTGGCAGAAATGGTGGTGCTTTGGATGATAAGTGGAACAAATAGGAGGAAGCAGAGGCAGGGAAGGATAATTAATGAATACATTAGCAGCAACAGCTCAGAGAGGGAGATTTCTCAGGGAAAAGCTACCCCCGAAAAAAGATGAAGCGTATCTGGGCTTGAGCACCATCGATGCGGAAAACAAATAAAGCAAGGCTATGAATTCAGAGGCAGGATATGAATTTTGAAATGTTTGTGGAACGTTTGCAGAAAGGCCAAGAAGAAAAGCAATAAGAGCCAGATACAGAGTTAGTGAAGCTGCATGTAATAGCGGGGTAAATTTAAAGAGCCCACCAGCACCAACTCCAAAGAGCGAAAAACAGCTACATCGACAATAATGAGAATCTATGAGAGGCAAAAATCTGTGATTTTCTTGGCGGGATACAGCAATGCAGGATTTATTTAAACTCAATTAATTCACTTGCAGACACGATATATACGCCGTGAGGGCCAGACCTCGAGGGATTTTTGTAGATCCACTCTAGCGCGGTGGTGATGGTGCCAACAGTAACTTTGGTACCAGAGCACAACAGTGATACTCACATGAATTTTTTTAAGTGTATAAAACAGTTTCTACACAAATTATATATTTATTTGTACCGAAAATGTAAGAATAGCCAAATAATGTATGTACTTTATATGTTTTTTTCCAAATGTACAAGGTGCAGACACACAAATTGCATGCTCATCTGCCAGCAGGTGGAATGGCACGCATGAGCAGGAGACTCTAGACAGCCCCCTGTAGAAGCTACTTGGCCTACTCTTCCACACTGACATGAAATTTTAGAATAGCTGTGGAAGTACCCACACTTTACGTGACCTGCTGATTGACTAAAATGTGATGCGCCCATTTGTACTGCCAGGTGGGCAGAGGCCGTGGGATTTGAGAAACTTGGCCCACCGTATCAACTGCACCTCATTTAAGAAAGTTTCTAGTGAATATAATTTAAAATAAGGAATGCAGCAGGTTATCAAGTCTGCAAGCCCTTTTTTGTCAAATGTGTTAGCATGATTCAGCCATTATTATTCCAACAAATCGGATGTTACACTGCAAGATTGAAGTAGTCTCAGTTTCTTTTTTTACTTTTACACTTTCACGTTCACTTTAGATTTTTTTTTGCAATTATATTCTAACTGTGCTGTCACATTTTCATTCTCAGAGCCTGAAATAAGTGAAAACACATTTAATATAGTTTGTCTGTGCTTGGTAACTGGACGAAGACCAGGAACTCACTATACTTGAGAAATCAGTTTAATCAGATGGGGCTGCAAAGCTTAAAGCCACAGCAATGTCGGCTCAGTATGCTTATATGACATCGCCCGCTAACCAGCTACCTCCAAAAATGAATATTGCTTTAAAGCGGTTCATATACAGTAAAGCCTTGGATTGCGAGCATAATTCGTTCCGGAAACGTGTTTGTAATCCAAAGCACTCGTATATCAAAGCGCTCGTATATCAGTTGTGATCACGTGACGCTCGGCAGACAAAGCGTATACGTACTACTCGTATTGCAAGACCTCGCTCGTTTATCAAATTAATATTTATTTAAAAATTTTGCTCGTCTTGCAAAACACTCGCAGACCAAGTTACTCGATCTAAATTTCAAGACTCAAAAACAAATCGTCTCCAAATTGACATTCGAGTCGGCTCGCAGCGGTTCAGTACCTTTCTCCTCAATCTGCGCCTTTCCAGACTTGGTGGAGGCCACCACGCTGGCGGTGGCCTCATTGACGGTGCGCGACGCCTGCTGCAGGCGCTGCAGGTTAGTGCTGCCCTTGTTCGCCTTAACCTGCGCAAGCAACGGTCGAAGAGCCACATTCACCGCACAAGCTCCGGTCATCCCTCGCAGCGGCTTTTTTCCCAACCCATCGAAAAAAAGACTGTCACTGCACAGTGCTTTCTACGGCTGTCTGGAATGATTTTCCTTTCCGATATTAGGAAGCCAGTAGCACAATGCACTTTCAAAATCTCGATTGAAAACTCATTTCTTTAGAACTGCTTTTTGTGTTCAGTTTGTTGTCCTTCCCCTGCACCTCCGATTAGCATGATTGGCTATGTATGGTGCAAAATAAGTTCAACATACATACTACATATTCTTAGTTCTTTCGGTAAAAGTCACGTAGATAGAAAATTAAAATAAAAAATAATAAAGTAATAAAATAAATTGAAAATAAAAGCAAAAAACCCACGACGTTTACCGAAAGAACCAAGAATATGATTTCCTGCAGTCACGAAAGTTTTAAGTAAAAAAAATACATACTACAGCTGTGCATGTATGCACGTGCACGTGGACATCAATCAAATTACACCAATCGTGAATCATTACCACTGCATGCGTGCTTATAACTTATCTTGTTTATCACACTAAACACCTTCCGTGAGTACGGCACATTCTGAAATAACACACACTTAATATTGTGCATAAAATACCGAACGTGACTTTAAATACACTTGTAAAATATTTATTGTGACTGATAAACTATGGAAGTAAGTAAATCCTAATTAATATGTAAATTAATTATAAGCCGTTGTACATTTATTTATTATGAATATAAAATAAACCACTATTTAGCATTACAATTGTGTTACAAGAGTTATAAATACTGTGTACACATAAAAAACGCATAATCCTTTTGTGATCAACATCTCGCTGGTTTAACAAAATATATCACTTCACAATTTTAAGTGTGCCAATGCTGGCAAAAAAAAATGAAACTTTTAGACGCATTACCAAACAATGCAACATAAAACATTTCAACATTTAGCTAGCCACACCAGGAGTCTTCATTCTTAATTGGATGTGGATGTTTCACACTACAAATTAAGCCTCGCTTTAAAGCAACACGTGATTTCACCCATCAGGGGCAAATGTAAAAACAGTTGTAATGAGGCTCAAATTGCCGGGCATGTTGTAATGAGAGGCATTATCCCCTTTCAAACCACGTCAAGAACAATCAGCATTGCAGGGAGTTCCATCACAAGCAATCATGCCCCGAGCACACAGGTCAGGGAGCTACTGCTGAGAGCAGCACGCTTTGTGCTTCCTACCTTGGAGGCGGCCACCAGCTGTGCCGTGCTTGCCGCTATCTCGCGCGAGCACACCATCAGCTCCTCGAACTTGCCGTTACCTTTTAAAACCTGGTCTGCTGCATCCCTTCATGCACAACGGGCATGCATGCGTGCACACACACACATACACACACACACATATATACACACATACACACATATATACACACATACACACACATACACACACGTACACACACGTACACACACGTACACACACGTACAAAATAAACGGGCTCTGGTGAGATAAACATGTTCGTGCACCGTCTGAAACCCTGGTTTGACATGTTGTAACTCGTGTTTATAATTCAAAGGCTGCAATAAGGGCTTCTCTGAATATATTATAAAGTTGAGGCTTAAATTTAATGTCTGCGGCCATTATGGTTCTTTATTTCTTCTGTGTAATAATTACTTTGAATTATGCCACACTTTCCTCTTATTATTTGTTTTGTTCTTGCTTTATTTTCCCTATTAAATGTACCACTTTCACATCATTTTTTGCCTTTTACTATTTTTTTTCCCTATTTTTGCATTACCCTTTAATATTATATATCGTTCTCATAACACGTATCTAGCTTAATTTACGTAGCAATTCATGCTCGTTTTTGCAATGGTGTCAATCTTCTATTTGTACGTTAATTAATGCATTGCATGCACCTGTCGAAAGCAAACACAGTATAGTAAATCAAATCACCACCTGACATTCATTTGCTGTGGCTGCTGTGCCGTAAAGTAGCATGACATTTAACATAAGCCACCAGAGAGACTGATACATCGGTGATATATGTGTATATTAAAGCCGCTCTGTAAAGCACCGTGGGGGATCAGCTTCTCACGCTGAATAATGGGATTGCCTTCTCGGGCTCACCGGATGGATGACCCTGACTGTATTACCAGCACATTAATTGGAGTAACAAACTTAACACAATAACCCCATAGAACATAACGTGACACATTAAAAGTGATTTCCTGACGAAATTAGCATTATTGAGGTAGTGCTCATCCCCTATTTACAGCCCTGCAGAGCCACTCGTGGAAATTCCACATTTCTATGGGGTGGGGATCCATACAAAAAGTACTGTTGACCTCATAAAGTACTGCCTATTTTATCAACCCCAGAGGTATGATTGGTCGAGTCGGCCCCCAACCGGGATTTTAACTCGCAACCTTCCGATTGTGAGCTGCTGTCTCGACCACAAAGCCACCCGGATAGTTTAACAACACATTACATACCAATAAATGATAACAGATGCTACTAGATAATTCACGTCTATATTAACTCTGGATATTAACTTACAAAGCTTACCACTTACAAACCTTACAACTTACAAACCTTACATTAATATTATCTGTTTACGTATAATATATGTTCTGTCAGGAATCTTCTAAATGGTGAAACTCTATTTGCAATGTGGGAACATACATCAATCTTGTCATCAGACATTAACTATCCACTGCCAGATGGAGGTCTCCCCAAACATTGTCATCCCTCACAGTCTCAGAATGCAATAATCCACGCTGCTACGTACGAGTTGATCTCATCCCTCTATCTTGGCGGTGGTCATCCTGTCAGGCATGTTTTCTCCTTTAGCTGCCACTCCATCTTTAGTCTCAACCGCCAGGCATCGTGCCCTGTCCACCCACTTTCCTTGAACTTTCAATATCATGCATATAATTTGCATATGTTCTCTGTGTTCAACATTCTGTCTCTAACTGCAATTCCCAGCAAGGATCTCTTCACACTCCTTTCGAGCATTTGTTCCATTTTATTTGTCAATAGCCATATTTCCAATGCCGATTTCACAGCAAGTGATATACACTGATTACAATATTTCTTCTGTTGCACATTGTTACCTTGCTTTTCATGATCAATTTCCGTTTTTTCAGCAGCACTCCAACCTACTCCACTTTATATGATGATACATTAACAGGTACAATTTCTCACACGAACACGGCCACCTTCGTGCGCCGAGCTAGAGGTGGCGGCGGCTCTGCGATCTGCCATTAACATGCTAATCTCTCACATTAACATAGCCACCTCAGCGCACTCGCCATGGAGGCCGCTCACCGATCTCACATTAACATGCTAATCTCTCACATTAACATGCTAATCTCTCACATTAACATGCTAATCTCTCACATTAACATAGCCACCTCAGCGCACTCGCCATGGAGGCCGCTCACCGATCTTACATTAACATGCTAATCTCTCACATTAACATGGCCACCTCAGCGCGCTCGCCGTGGAGGCCGCTCACCGATCTTACATTAACATGCTAATCTCTCACATTAACATAGCCACCTCAGCGCACTCGCCATGGAGGATGCTCACCGATCTTACATTAACATGCTAATCTCTCACATTAACATGGCCACACTCAGCGTGCTCGCCATGGAGGCCGCTCACCGATCTTACATTAACATGCTAATCTCTCACATTAACATGCTAATCTCTCACATTAACATGCTAATCTCTCACATTAACATGGCCACCTCAGCGCACTCGCCATGGAGGCCGCTCACCGATCTTACATTAACATGCTAATCTCTCACATTAACATGGCCACCTCAGCACGCTCGCCATGGAGGCCGCTCACCGATCTTACATTAACATGCTAATCTCTCACATTAACATGCTAATCTCTCACATTAACATGCTAATCTCTCACATTAACATGCTAATCTCTCACATTAACATGGCCACCTCAGCGCACTCGCCATGGAGGCCGCTCACCGATCTTACATTCATATGCTAATCTAAAAACTATAAACAGTTTGCCTTTAGAAGCTAACCCCTTTTCCTGATGATGACCGCTTGTGTTGCGATCGAAACGTTGTCGTTTTTTTTGTTATTTTCTTTGAACCTATCTACGTGACTTTACCGAAAGACCCAAAGAATATGAATTCCTGCAGTCACGAAAGCTTTAAGTCAAGATTTGATCCCTGCCCATCTTAAAGAACTGCCTAAGATATGTATACTCTGATGTGTTTTCCAATTGTGTCCATCTGACAGATATATGCATTTGTTTTGTGAACTGGTACCCGACAAACTAACTCATATTTTTAGATGCCAAGTCATTACAACCAAAGGAAACAGAACATGATTTCAAGAATGTAAGAGCATTCTGCAAAGCTGGGCTCAAGATAAATATAGACAAACACAAATATGAACCTAAATTGAATAATCCCTTAATCAACATCAGGTGCTCACTCCACAATGCAATATTTGTATTACCACGTCTGGCTCGTGACGCAAATCAGTCAACAAAGCCACGTTAGCCTATCAAATTATAAACAGGCATCTGCTTATTAATTTGCATTGTTTAATACTGTCGTACTAAGATGCAAGCAACGTAAAAGCTTACAATGTTACTGCAGATCAGGTAAGAAAAAACACATTATGTAGACAAATTATTTGGTGCCGCTGCATTGCCAACAGAACACAAGCACACATAGCAAACAAAAACTCGCCAACATCATTGCTCATTGAATACCCTATTTTTTTAAGGCAGTGTTGTTGACAAGTGTGAGTTTTACGTTATGTAGAGTGCATGTATAAGGATTGCATAGATGTATTTTACGTGTAAAAAAAAATCAATCGGCATACAAACAGGTTTCATCCAGGAATCTTATCAGTGCAGAGACTAGATGTGATGCTTAGCCAGACAAGCCCAAAAGGCTCTCTCGTATTTATGCAGCCAATCAGCATAACACCTCTCACGCTTTGCCCTGCAAATGCATTTCGACCTATATTCCACAGTGGCCTGAGGTTTTTCCAGAAGCAAAAAAAAACAGAATCACAAGCTTTTGTAACATGGCACAGACAGCGATGGTAAAGCATTGCTGCTGCTGTGTGTATGTTAAAACAGTAGCAATGCCTCACATTTCTCCAGGGATACAGAACAAAAGGCATTGGTGGTGGGTGTTACACTGTATAAACACTCTTTGTAGTTGAGCAGCGGTTTATTGATTGCAATATTAATTAGTATCGCTGCACAGGGTGAAATGTCATTTTTTTAAAGCAGCCTCGTGCATCATATATCCATACAGGCATATAGTTACATTACTAGGATTTTTTTTTTAATTCAGATCCTGTTGGTGACAGTAGTGCAGTGTGTTTATCTATAAAAATAACAAAGAAACAAGAATGTACGTGTATAAATATGTACAAATTTAACAATTTTATCCCGAAGCTTTATTTACAGCTTAGGAATATGGTGAGACTTGTTATAAAAATGGATGTTTGCTGAATTTAATCAATTGAGAAGTTACATTTGGGAGGGGGTGGTGGGGGGGGAAACCAAGATTAACATATTATTTTGAAAATCAATATTTGAAGGTCAAGTTAAGGATGGTGAAAGGAAAAGTTGTAGTTGAAAGGCAATAATAAATACATGAAGGTAGATTGTGTAAAAAAATGTAATTACTTCTCGATGTTGTGGTATCAAATGTAACATTGCTACGGTTACGCCACATAATCTAGACTGTGGATCATGCGAGGGACTTGAGAGTTGGGTGACCATTAAAAGTCTATCCTTAACAAAGAAGATGGAGACTTACACTAGCATAGTGGCAGCCCATCCCACAGCCTTGGAAGCTGAGATCAGTCCCTCCGTCCAGCGAGAATTCTTGGCATAAAACTCCTTCTGTGAGGTCGCCCCCTGGCAGACAAATGTGACATAGCAACCGCAAATTCTTGAGCTACATGACATTTCGAGGAGCCGTCCCTCTAACATGAAAGCCTACTGACAACATTTGTTGAAGTCCAATATAAATGACAAACACGATCTATTTACATCGGTGTAGCAACTCAAAAACTAAACGGTTAACAATCATTTGAGTATCAATGTGGAGAATATAAGTTTACTAAAAAACAATGCTCCCCATATTTGACTTCTAAATGCTTGCATGTTTATCTGGAGAGACAAATGTGAATAGATTTTGTCCTAAAAACTACATCGTTATCACATGCTGCTGCTAAAATGTGTTACATGTTTTCAAGATTTGCAGACAGCAGCTGTGAACAACACTCATGAATAATTTATGATACAAAACTGAAAGCACTAAAAGTGGATATTTTACATTCATCAAACAACATAGTGGGCTGGTAGCTTACAGTGTCAGACACTAATTTAATTATGAGTGAACTTTGGCTGGCCTTATAGTCAATACTCAAATGAAGCCAAGTAAATTAATTCGAAATTCATTTTCAGTGGATTGAGCAGACTTTGGGGGCAGCCCTCATCAGGTACAAATTTCAACACAAGTTAGCCATGAGGCATATGCTTAATGAGGACTAATTTCTGGATGTGGTGACCCTGAAAGGAACCATTATCCAATCGAGTGGCTTAAAAAAAAAGTTTCCTTTGCAGATTATACAATAGCAGGGAACACCACAAATGAACGAGCCTCCAAAAGTCTGGCAAGTTTGTAGCCTGTTTATTGCTCTCGACAGAGTTATAGTGAAATGAGGGCATGCAATATTGCGCTTTAACAGTCTCATCCTTAGGTGGTCTGACTTTAACAGGTCAATCATAATTTGCATAAAGGGCTTTAAATAACGTTAAATTCGGTTCCTGAGCTTGAGAATGGTGACACACTTGGCTCTCCATAAAGAGCGCCAGTAATATAAATACAATTTGATGGGCAGTCTAGTGGGATGGAGATAACTCTGATGGAGGTGCTACAGAATGGATTTTTTAATGAGAAATCCTACATGAAACCAAAAAGTTTGGTTACAAAAAAAACGGCATTTTTCCCTTTGCTACCCAACTAATTTGAATTTTAAAATGTTAATTAATGCGTGCATAAAAGAATAACAATCCAGGCACATTGTAAAGATGTTAACTTACCCTGTCTTCATCCACTATCTCCTTCTGAAGATCTTTAGAGGCCAGAATCAAAGCTCTTATGGTCTAAGGGTATAAAAGCATCACTATTACAAATCTTAAAATGTAAGAAAAGTATATAAGGCTGTGTAAAATGTACTCGGGCAGTCGAAGAAAAAATAGAAATAAGCCTTGTTGTGAACTCCCTTATACACAATGTATTAAAAATATATTTACCATGTTGAATCCAGACTGCTGTTAAATGTTAATCAAGGCCGGTGCAGGGGTGGTGGAAATGTCGTATGTAATGTAACTCAAATCAAATCTGTAAATGCCAAATAAACCCCCCCCCCCCCCATGATAACATAAGAGAGGGGACCACAATTTCACTTCTTCAGGAAAGACCAATGAATATTGCAAATGCACAATGGCTGTGTGCTCTTTCCACATTTGTGTCTTGTTTGTAAAGAAACTGTCAGGCAACCGTGGAAGTTTGCATTATTGCAGGCACAGATCCTATTGGCTAACCACATTTAAATAAGCACTGGAGTAATGTGTTGGTAAACAACCACGTTAGTAAAATTAGTCAATCCTGCCTGCTTGTATTCATTAGTGAAATGTATGTTTTTTGTATATTGATATGCAAATCCTAATGAAATTTACCTTCATCAGATCTGTACAGGAGGCAAGAATCCTACAGAAAACAGAGGTGAAGCATGTTAGTGTGACTTCATGACAGCCACTGGAGTACAACACAATGGCTTTAAACATTTAAACGGCAAAAAATGTCTGTTGCAATGAAGAAAGTATTATAAAAGTTACAAAAATAACAGGTGGCTCAATTGGTATCCGTTAATGTTCAAAAGGAGTGTAATATATTACCAGCAACCCACAAGTCCTTTGAATTTGACCGTCCATCCTTCCCTCCAGCCAGTCAGAATTGTTTTTATTCTCATATAAAAAAAATGAAAGTATGATGGTGTATCCCACGCCTTTGCGCAGGATACACAGCTCGGGTAGAGGGTTGGGGGGGGTGACGTCATCACAGAGAAGTGCGCAGTGTTGTCGCCACCGACCACATGCACTTACCCACCCGCATGCCAGCGAGAAAAACACGTTTCTCACATTTAACACGTAGGCTTTCGCGACCAATATTATTCCTAATAAAGGCTTTTTTGGGTTTGATCGCAGTTAGTATAAATGTGTCGAAAACCCTCCACCAACCAACAAAGCCAATTAGTAAGGAATTTGGCACATAAACAAAATACATAAATTTTGATTTAAAGCTTTCGTGACTGCAGTAATTCATATTCTTGGTTCTTTCGGTAAAGTCACGTTGAAGGGAAACAATAAAATAATAAAATATATATAAAACAATAAAATTCTCACGACGTTTCGACTGTAACAGTCATCATCAGGTGTGAAAACCAACGGCAAGAAACATTTGAAAGAAGTGGCGGTTTGTATTTATTGATTTTTAAACGTTAGCACCACGGACAGCGATTTGGCAGTTTGTTTATAAGGACGAGCCCATCTATGTTCGGAAAAGAGGAGGGGGGAGACGAAAAATTAATGTATGCTGTTTGAAAGCCACCGTAAGCGTGAACAATCAATTAAGACCCGAAATGGTTTATCAAATCCTTCCAATGATTGCTAAGCCAGAATCCATCTTCTCGGTTGAAATTGTCTCTGTGTTTGTATATGTGGATAGCCTCATGAACGAATCTCTCATGGTAGCCCGATGGCTTGCAAAGAACCTCTGTCTTGGAGAAGTCAATGTCATGTGAGCCTACTGAATTATAACAGTGATCTTCCACGGCCGAGGTGTTGGTCCTACCGTGTTTAAGGTCTGCTTTGTGTTCACGAATGCAGTCCGAGGCATGTCGTTTGGTTTCTCCAATGTAACTACTACCACAGAGGCAACTTAGTTTGTAGACACCAGGGTACTGTATGTCCGGAATCACATCTTTTACAGACGGAACCAGATCACGGATTTTATGTAATGTGTTGAAAAGACATAGTTAACACTTCAGCTCAAAGGTGTGTTGAAGACTGAATCCACAACATTTACAATTGTGGATTCACTCTTCAACACACTTTTGGGCTGAAGTATTAACTATTTGTCTTTTTGCCAAATCCCTTACTGATTGACCTTGTCGGGTGGTGGAGGGTTTCGACATATTTATACTTACGCTATCTAACCCAAAAACAACCTTTATTATGAATGTTTCCAACATAGTATGAAAATGTCCGTTTAAGGAGTGGGGTGTCATTTGCAAACCAGAGGCAAAACTGGCAATATATTAAACACCCTCTCTCTCTGAAAACATGCACATAAATATTAAACGCTTTCAAACGTTTACATTTAATGGCCATTGGATGATAGTGTATTACTTAATTGACATAAACAGGAATTCAATTTGTATTAAACAAAGCATTCTTCCGTTAATAAATTGATCCTTTTAATAACCACATTTTTGTAACTATAATGTACTTCACAAAAAGAAGATAATTGATATTCATATTCACTCATCGTGTAACTTCAAAACAATGCTATTAACCCAGAGAAATTATCAATATGCACCTACCTACCTCATGGAAACTGGATAATTAGTGTCGTGTCAGATTAACAGTTAACATGCGCTAGACAAATTGTGTCTTTGTGATCATACCATTATCTACACTGTGTGCAAAATGTAAGCTTGTAATGCAAGAACAGCATGCACGCACTTTGCAAAATTGCACTGCGGGGTGACTATTTATTACGCGATCATTTCTAATTAGGCTAGGCAGTACACAACGTTATCGCAGTGGGGATAAGTATTGGCTGGACTGCATAGTGTGCCCAAGGAGTAAATATTGTTCAACCACTCTACCGGCTCATACTTAAAACACGAACGCACCATGTGCATCATTCCCATCTTTGCACGAGAGCTTTATAATGTAGCCATAGGAGAATAAAGCCACCTGAAACTAAACAATGAACTATTTTTTTTATTTTACCAGCTCAGACCCACTGAGCTATGTGGCTCTTTTTCACAAGTGACCCGACCACAAATGATAGCTCAACCAAGTGGTGTATTACGTGGAATTTATAGCAGCCAAATACTCTAAAAGTATATTTCTAAAGATGGAGGGAAAACCCGGAGGACCTGGAGAAAATCCATGCCACCACGGAAAGAACATGCAAACTCCAAATATACAGGCGTCAGTGTCGGGATCGAAACCGCAACCTCCTGTATACCAGGCAAGGTAGTTCACATCTCACTACCATGGAACCCTTCTCAGGCAGAAGTATCCATAGGATGAGGGTACATGTGTAGACATGAATCGATCTGCTGCATGGCTGCATACTTGTTGAGGAAGCCAGAGACATCAAATTTACAGATCTCATTTTGAAAAATCACCCAACAAATGTAATGTTTATGATGATTTGAAACTGTCTCCATCTTACTTTCCTGTTTTATCCCTCAATTACCGACTGTTACAGCAGAAGAGCAAAATATGCATCTTTTATTTCAATAATATAGATGATCTTCAATGGGCAAGATACAGTTTCAAAAACTGAATCTCAAAAAAGACGTGTGCAATATATATTGTGCATATATATCAACAAGTAAATCATGTTGAATAGCTGAGAGTAGAGATAGTTTCGTCAGCTTTCAGCAACAATTGATAATATGACTGACAACTGCACACAAGCTTTCCAACAGGGAGTCCAATGGCGCTGAGAGACTCTATAATGACAAGCAGAAGTTGCAGGTCAGCATTGCACTACAACGGAAAGTTTCATTCAGCAAATAAAGTAAAAAAACAAAAGATAGGACTGCTTGGGAAAAGAAGACTGACAGATGATCTAAAATGATGGATGGTAACTTCAGGACAGAAAAAAAGAGATGCTTACACAAGCATTTAAACACCAGAATTTATATCACAATTCCCAATTGGTATTTTACTCTAACATGTGACATGCATAAAAGCACGATCATGTATTGCACATATCATCACGGCCAGAACTCTGAAATGTGATGAATCATTGCATTTCAAGGATGGGGACTTGTTTTATAACATTTTGCCATCATCAATTGTACATTTTCATCCGCACAAAGAACATAGCCAGTTCAATGGGCTTTTAAGCGCTGTAAAGTATTTTTTTACTTCCATTAACAACTGTGCTGAGTGCTATTTCAGTGTTTGGGTTAGGAACATACTAAATGGGAACTATATTATTTATGAAGAATTTCACCCATGGGGCTTTCAATGAAGCCAACATTACCATGCTAGATATGTATGACTTAAACATTCGCAATGCCTCCTGAGGTTAGGTTGTCCCCAATGTTCCATTTTACAGAAGGAAATCGGAAAATTTAAGATTCAAGATTTTAATTGCCAAGGGATAATGTGTGAAAACGTTCTCAGACGGAGTGATATTTGCTGATTTTATCTCATAAATTGACATTCTAAATGCAATTATATCCAACAGTCTGGGATGTAACCTGGTGACTGATCACAGCATGACCAACATGGGTTTATATTATATATATATCACTCAGTGGTATATTTTATGCTTGTAAATAATTCCCTGCCCAAAAAAAATTCAGATATGCTTCCATGAACAGATTATCTGAAAAGGGATGGATAATATTGAACATGCGGTTTCTTTGCTTACCAAGTATCATAAATATAAAAACTCTGAAAGTGTGCGTACTCTATTATGACAAAGGTGTGCACAAGGGTAGACACACATGCACTATTCAAACTGTCGAAGGTCACTCCTTCTCTTTGGCTGCCCCTGATGTTTGCAATGCTGTCCCCCTGCTTGGCAGCACTGCAAATTATCTTATTTTTCAATCCAAATTAAAACACTCTGATAATATATGTGGCATTGTCTTTGAAACTGATTATCAGAGTGTGTTTTTTGTTTTCATTCTGAGCACAAGTATTGTGGTTAATGCAGACATGATTCCTTGTAAAAGGTTTCAGTTTGGTATTTTAACATCTCAACACCTGTTTTGTTGCTAGAAAAAAGGGGAAAACCTATTCTCATATTTTGGTACTGGCAAAAGAGGTCCCATGATGTGTTGTATACGCTTGCTCCATACAGCATTTTCGGACACTTAAGTATTAAGATGCTACAGTGTATTAATTCAAATATGTTTAAATTATTATATCTCACTGAAATAATATTATGAATAGGCCCCATCCAGGCCTCATTTTTGTAAAGGCATCAAAGTCACACTAAGAAACGCAGCCACGGTTGGCTGCGTATGGTGCGAAAGAGTTCAGGATGCATACACGTGACCACATCACGAAATGGCATACAAGGTGCGGGGTACACGTGAGGGTAAGGGCTGAAAAGATATTAAGAAATGGGGGAGGGTGTTACTGAAGAGGTCAACGGTCAAAAGCAAAACAGAAAAGGAAGGTCTTAAGCATGGACAGGTTAGAGAGGCATGTAACCTCCTATATTTCTGAGTGAGGCTGACTGTTAGTGTCTCTACGAGACCTTGGTTTTCTGCATGAAGTGTACTGCTATTAGGGGGAGTCGTGGGATTTAAGACATGCTTGAAAAGTCCATGCATATTGAGCTAAGGAGAAAAACATATCCAAAATGGTCACTCATGCTTGCTGAACACACTGCAAAAGCCAATTGGTTGCACCCTACACAGCTGAGTGCATTAACTCCAGAAGGCACACAGCAAGCACACTTACTCCATCACCTCACTGCCAGGGTTCACGTTGTTAAGAAGGAGACTAAGCCTGTCCACACTCGGACTATTCCAAAAGAATGTGCATTAAAATGAGATAATAGTTGTGCAACATCGGTAAGATCAGCAATTAATTATACAAGCCACTGGTGCTGGATGTATTTGGTTCAGTGCAGACAAAAATGCCCAGGGGGAGGATATACAGTGTACAGTAGATATATGTAGCCAATATTCACAGCCATGCTGCCAGAGCAGCTCAATGAGCGTTGAAAGATGGTCATCTCTCTGTTGGTGGCCCCAAGCCAGTGATTAAAACACACACAAAAACTCTCTGTTCCTCTGGTGGGTTCCAGTCTCTCCCCATAGGATGATAGCTGTTGATTTCCCACATGTGATACTCTTTATCAAAATAGAGGAGAGTCAGCTCCTCACCAAAATGTAACATTTCAACCTTGTGATTGTGAGCTAATTGCTTTGCCATCCGGCCAAATAATAAGAGAGATTTAGATTATTACGTTCATGCAATTAACGAATATATATACTGGTGGCAGGGAATGATAGTGTAGCTATGGATTATTGTATCTATCTGTGGGGTGATTTGCATGCTTTTCATGTGACCAATCCATATGTGCAGATTTCCTTCAGATACTCCAATTTCCTCTCACATACCATGCACTAATCGAATTGGCCAAACATCTCAATGCAGGACCCTCCTTAAAAGAAGAGTATTGCGACCCAGTAAGGCTTTCAAGGTAAATGTAGGGGACTATTCATACTATTCCTGACCATCCGCATGGAGCTGTAGTTCCAAAGCCAAAACTGTTCAGCAGATTTATGTATGTGTTTTTCCAATGAAAGTGTAGAACAGCACTCTGCCAATATCAACCTCATACTTGCTCTACTTACGAACCTTTCATTTACTTCCAACTTTACTCCCCTCTCCTCCGCCCGTGCCTTGCTCAACATATCCTGCAAACAACACAATTATTAAATGGTACGATCCTGAACACCAGCACCGTTAGACCAACGTGGCTTTATAGTACCCTTATCAAATACATAAATGTGAGCATTGATTAATATCGATTTGCAACCTCACGATATATTAATCAAATTGCGTGACGATACATGTTTTGTTCATGATTCAAAATATGTCACCCCGGCAGTCACAAGAGGCACTACCATTCACCAAATTGTAAAAAAAAAACCATCGATTCCTCAATTGAATCACAACTCTCATTCAAATTGATGAAGGGTGAATCGGCCCAGCCCTAGCAGCCAAGATATAGAATCTAAAGTAAAACTACATTTTTATTTTACCAGGTAAGGCCCACTAAGCTACGTAGCTCTTTTTCAGAAGTGACCAGGCCACAAATGATAGCTCAACAAAGTGCGTCATCATACAAAAATGTACAGCAGCCAAATACTCTGAATGCATGTTTCTCTATGTGGAGGGAAAAACCGGAGGGCCCGGAGAAAAAAATCCACACGTCCACAGGGAGAACATGCAAACTCCAAATATATAACAAGCGTCAAGATCAGGAGAAAACCTACAACCTCCTATATACCAGGCGAGGTATTTAACATTTTGCCACCGTGGCACCCATGGTGTGTCTGTATCTGCATGGCCATGAGGCGAGCCCCGTCGTCTGCTCGCGGTGGACACGCTGGCCGTCACCTCTATCCGTGCGGCGGCGTCCTCGATGGCGGCCGCCGTCGCAGCCATCTCCTGCTCCACGAGATCTCCCAGCTCCCCTGGCTTCACGTCCAAGCCTCGTGGACGCAGCTCCTGGAGGGAGGGGAGGGAGGGAGGGAGGGAGGGAGGGAGGGAGGGAGGGAGGGAGGGAGGGAGGGAGGGAGGGAGGGAGGGAGGGAGGGAGGGAGGGAGGGAGGGAGGGAGGGAGGGAGGGAGGGAGGGAGGGAGGGAGGGAGGGAGGGAGGGAGGGAGGGAGGGAGGGAGGGAGGGAGAAGGGCTGACCATGACATTTACAAAAAAACTGTCCTCTTCCCAGAAAATTCCTGTATGCATGTATGTTGAACTTCTTTCGCACTGTAAGTATCTAACGGTGCTAATCAGAGGTGCAGGGAAGGACAACAAACTAATCACAAAAATTAGTTCTAAAGAAATTAGTTTTAAATCTAGAATCAAAAGTGCATAGCTCCAGTGGCTTCCTAATATCAGATGGATGAGCGTTCCAGACGGACCCAGAAGCGCATCTGAAAGCACGCAATGCAGTAACGGTCTTTGTTCGATGGCTATCCAAAAGCCGCTGCGAGGGTGACCGTAGTTCGTGTGTTTGTTTACGCTCCTTGACGAGATCAGCAAGGTATTTGTGCTTCATTTGTGGCAAGGTAAAGGTGAAGGTGCGGACCTGCAATTACTTATTCATGCCACTGCTGGCAGAGGGGCCTTCACTAGAAGGAGCTCTAGAGAGCCTATTAACGGCGTATTTTGGCTTACTCTTTGACGCTGTGCAGTCATTTTGTGGTGTGTTGATTTATTCTTATGGGTTGACAGAGGTAGTGGAATTTGAAAAAAATGCTCATTAATTCAACTCGGAGAACAAACAAGCAACCTCTAAATTACGTGGTGGAATTTGAAAAACTTGCTCATTGATTCAACTAGGAGAACAAACAAGCAACCTCTAAATTACAAGTCCATTGTGCTAACCATCCCTAGTCACTGCTATATAAAGCAAACATATTTAAATACATTTCTGCAAAACACACCACCGAATAAAATATGCAAATTTAAGTTATAAATGACAACATAATGTTCTCTTCATCTAGGATTTAAGCTTTCGTGCCTGCAGGAATTACTATACTCATTGGTTCTTTCGGTAAAGTCACGTATGTAGAAATAAAATAAAATTGTAATAAATCACGACGTTTCTAAACGCAACGCAAGCGCTCGTCCTCAGGTGAAAATGGCGTAAACCACACAGCGAGGGAACACACAGAGGGACATCACACACAGAGAACGGCAAACTGCACGGAGGCAAATACAGCAAGAAGATGGGAGACGCAATCTTGGCAAACCTTTCCCTGTGTTTTTCCCCTCTGTGTATGTATCTCTGCTACCTTGTACCTCGTGTCTGTTCACGAGTCCTTATCCTCTGTTTACGTTGGTGTGTTCAACCTAGAAGATGAACACAAGATTTAGCAGTCTTTTGAAATAAGTGGTCAACCAGGTTTAGTGTCTAACTGTCTTGTTGGCCGACTGCGTTGCATCGCATTGTATTTCTAAGGTTTGCTGAGTTCGCGTCTCCCATCTTCTTGCTGTATTTGCCTCCGTGCAGTTTGCCGTCCTCTGTGCTCTGTGTGTGATGTCCCTCTGTGTGTTCCCTCGCTGTGTGGTTTACGCCATTTTCACCTGAGGACGAGCGCTTGTGTTGCGTTTAGAAACGTCGTGATTTATTTCAATTTTATTTTTATTTTATTTCTACATACGTGACTTTACCGAAAGAACCAATGAGTATAATAATGTTCTCTTCTTGGATTTTTTACTCAGTCACTTATTTTTGTGTAAGTGCAGCTTCAAGTGGGAATGTCACTCGCAGAATGGCAAAGTGCAATGCATACAGGATATTCACATTTATTTAACGGCGAGAAGGCAGTTGAAACCTAAGAGAATGTCAATGTCCTTCATGCTGACACAAAGAAACACATTTCCATACTGCACACATCTTTTCAAAGGAGAGTTATTAAAAAAATAGTTATTAATATGCTGCCAGTCAACTGGCTTCTGCGTAAAATGTTTGTGAAATTCCATTCTGTCAGAAACACCACTGGTTTTGTGCAGTCTGCCAGTTTGGATGTATGCGAGGCAACTTTTTATGCCACAAATCAACTGGTCAGCAAGGGATAGAACCAAAGAGTATGGCCAGCAAGGGATAAAAATCGAGGCTGATGGGTTTCTAACCCCACTTCTGAGTAAAATTTACAGACACAGCCTTGGTTTAGGCTAGTGCAGTGTGGATGTGTGAACATTTTAATAATGCACCAAAATATATTATGGGTTTTTTCCTTTTCCCAGTAGTATTACAATTTTGCTATTGGTGTCATATCACATTGAGACAGAGTATCCCATCAGAATTAACACAAACCCCCATGTTCCAAGAATGGCCCAGAGAAGAAAATATCGAATTCTGAAATCCCTTGAAGTGGCTTTTTTCTTCACCCTTGGCACATTACACTTTCTGAAATGCCCCGCTACAAATAAATTTCATCCCATGGCATTAAAACATTACTTTGTAAGTCTCAGAACAAGAGTTTAGTGAAAATAAAAAACACAGAATGTGGTTTTCTATGTAGTAATCAATGACCATCTTAAGATTAGCAACTCAATATAATTGAGAACCTGCTTTTATCACGGGTGGCTGAAACTCAAATTCGGAATGCAGAATTCTCAGCAGTGTTGGCTCAGCGTTCTGACCCCTAAGTCACCAAAAGCCACCTCAAAATATAATAGTTTTAAATATAGCTGACATTAGCAATGGCCTGGCAAAAAAAACATAGCGTCTAGAAAGACGAGTTCAGGAAGAGAGTAAATACCTGGATTTGTGGACAAACCTATGTTATTATAAAGCATGCACGAGGGAACAATAACGTAGGAATGTAGTGGCAGGGAAAGCACCTGTGCAATGGCGAGGATAGCAAGCAGGGCTTCTCTTGTGTGGGTTGGACTGGCCTCCTCGGCAGATGCAGAGTCCTTCAGGGAGCCGAGGAATGTCAGCGCTTGTGTTCCACAGTGGCGACACAAGTCCGACAGTTCTAGGACATGAAGACGTGTGTGCGCACATGTGGAAAATTGTCATATCGGAACAATGTAGCATATAATCTGCCTTCGGACAGAAAATATAGGAATCTTACCTTAATATACATTTCCAGCTTATGTATTCAAACAGTTTAGTTCACTCAATATATAGTGCTTTTTATTGCCAAATACCGATGCATTTAACTACTGTGGGTACAGCTGTTGCATTAATAACATAAATATCTGCAACAAGAATGGTGTGTGGAGGCCCATCATTTTGATTAAATGTAAAATGAATACCATTGCATTATGATTTTCCATTTACACAAAATATATTATTTAAAATGTCATAGTGCTTTGGTTATACAATATGCCATTTGCATGGCTATAATTTTCTGTTTGTAACTGGAAGCGCCTCGTATATAAATCATTATTTACGTTTTTAATCTGCATTGTCACAAAATAGGCACAGCCCAGTACAACATGTTGCAGCTAAAACAATCATAGGACTAAATTTTGATTTAAAGCTTTCGTGACTGCAGTAATTCATATTCTTAGTTTTTTCGGTAAAGTCACGTTGAAGAGAAAAAACTAAGAATAATCATAGGACTCATTTTGCCAGAATATGTCTAAGGAAACATCCGAGGCAGAAGATACTCGAACCATTCAAGTGCAGGAAAGTGCCGCCATGCAGGGCAATAAGCTGATCCTACATTATGTGACACAATAGTAACGGGAAAGTGATTCGCACGAACCGCAAAAAAATATAAGCATGAATCACTGTTTACAACCAGCTCTAAAACCGCACTAAAACGCTATTAAATTTCAACACTCAGGCTCCAGTCAATCTTCCTAAAAATCAGACAGATAAGTTTTGCACATTATTGTGCAGATTTTTTGGAAAATGTTAATTATTCCAAGGCCCACTTTAATTTCAGCCAAATTAAGTGGCTCTTTGCACCACAAGGATTCCAATGAAAGAGAAGCACAAAATGGAGAGAATGTTGTATCAGCATGCTGTAAAACATTAGAGATAACCCTGGGTTCATGTACGTGGGTATCACAGAAATATAAAACTGGAACTGGAGGCAGTGGGAAGGCAGTCACATACGTACCATGACAGACATTTAATAAAGGGGCCAAATCAAGGGACTGACATGGCAGTGTCTGTGAAACACGTACGATACAAACATAGCCTCGCCAAACAAACGAAATTAACATGACCTTCGACCTTTAGAAGTTTTGCTAAAACCATATCTTCTGCATGAACAAAGCCACAAAACAGCATTACATAAGTGTCTAAGAAGTAACGCACGGAATACTTAACTTAATATATCGCCAAAGAATGCAGTCACAATATATGTTTTGCTTATTGTTTCCTCTTACATGTTGCAAACATAGGGTATTCAGGTTGTTTGCCGTTTCCCATGATAAATTCGGTGGCAAATTGCAATGCTTTCCCATGAGAGCTCAAGCTGTCTTTTTGGAGGGATTGAATTGTGTTTATATAGTTATTTCATGAACAGCGATAATAAAAGTTAATCGCTATCAATGGCCATAAGTATTTCACTAAAAAAAATTGTATATATTAACGATTTCACAGCATGGTAAACATACCGTTTAATAGCAAGAATACCACACAACAATGTAAATCGGAGACAAGCATTCATAATGTAGCTGAACACAATTTCCATCAGCTGCCAGTAATGCTGGTACAGAATGACTTGATTATAAAAACACCCAAAGTGATAGAAATGTAACATCAACATAAATACGCAAACGAAGATGCTCTTTGATAAATGCGAGTGAAATGTTTTTAATGGGGGGGGGGAAGAAGAGTGGGGGCGGCAGTATACGTTTTCATTAGAATAGTGAACCCTGTAACCGGTGCCAGTGTAGGTGGTGTGAGTGGGCATACACAAGCTTATAGCGGTGTTCGTGTGCCACTACTCACTGTCGGCTTGGTCAATGGGCGACGCATGGGAAGTGGCGGTGCCTTGCACTATAACGTCGCTCACCACGTGCGCAAACGCTGCCACGCTGCCCAGTAGCCCGCTTGCGTCTGCAATACAGCACATCTTTTTCAACTCCAAGCCAACAAAAGTTAACGTCTATATAAAAAAGGGACATCTTTGCATTCCATGAGTGTACCTGCTGCATGGCACAGGACAATGCATGATCTCACCATGGCTGTTGGCCAAGAACTGTGAATGCCCTTCCTTGAGCCTATCCGTGCTGTCCACACCACACTGCGCTCGCGAGATCAAGTAATCTGAAATGTAAGAGACGTTAATGATAAGAATTAGTATTTGCACTGCTTTTGCTTCTCAATTGGACTGATGAATAAGCATATGTTCCAACTACATAATATATACACACCTTTACTGAAATATGCATTGTGCATTAAATAATGCAACAACCCCCCATTTAGCCAAATGTATAGTGATATAGTTTTACTTCTGCATATCACTTATGGCTAAAATGCCTTAAAAAATATAGGATATGGCATAACGCTAAAACCATACACCAATCGTTCACAAGTGTAACTATCACTTCCTGGACCTGGGTTAGCAGTAGTTTAAAAAATGTATTCCACTGTCAATATTTACTTACACCCAGCTGGAGGCTTTTCATCACTTGCATTATAGAAGTAAAAAGCATTACGAGACACGTTTTCATCACACTTTATCCCATTAGATTTACTTATGTCCTAATTAGAACATCACATCCCCTTAAGACATCACGAACATTTTTTTATCATGTCCAAGTGTACAACATTTGGGTTGCAATGTATCTTTAGTTAAATCTACATTTAAGCAATTACAAAGACAACTATCAAGCAATGTTTAGACTGCAGCAATAAATCACGTATAATGGCTACTCGAATATAAGACAAGATGGAATATATTTTAATAGCATGAATACAATACATCCTTAGGAGCTGTCACACATTAATCTATAAATGACATACCATTTTTTCACTTTTTATTTTATATTCTATACCTACGTGACTTTACCGAAAGAACCAAAGAGTATGGATTTGAATGAGGAATATTATCAGCCCTAAAACAGTGTGGATCATAGTGCCTTGGAAAATGTTAAATATTGCCGAGGAAACTGTGAATTCCAAAGATCATGAATAAAGTCACCTGCTTCCTGCAATATTATTAATGAATGTTAAATTGAAAAATAATTGAAGACCATGGCTATCTGGAAAACAAATCTAAACAAATATATACATATACTAGCAACCAATAGCAAGATTATCCTACTTCAAATTGGTTTTAGTTTCACCCACTTAAAAAAAGTACCCAAAACTTGAGGTGTCCATAATATTATATCATCTTTAAATATCCGCACCCTTCAAAACCTCTGGACATGACCTCTCACGGGCCTAGAATACCAAAAAATTATTACGAAATATTACAGCCCATTTTTTGGAAGCCCAAAATTGGAAATGGACGTCATTTTTATTCAGTGCCCACTCTTTGAAACCTCCATATACAGTACAGTGAAAACTTTCATGGACCTAGGTCCAACAAACACAATTTAAAAGTTGGGCATACAATATTTAGGCACAAATTTTAGTTTTTAAAGATGTTTACTCATCGGAATCAAATCAACTTTATTTTGTGACAGTTTTCAGCTAACTAGCTCTTCTAGAACATCATTGTGTGTATTATGCACCCATTCACAGGGATGTATTTTCGTAACAATTATTTGAATCACGACTGGATGAATTATCACATCTATTAAATACAGTACAGTATACGAACATTTATTGTATAATTTTAAAAAATAAATGGATACAATTTTTGGTTTCTGTTTCCAGGCGAGGCCATGTAGTCTGTGTGGTAGTTATGTCACTATTAGCCATCCCTCGATAAACTCATTATTTGTGTTGTTTCACGTTTTTTTTTATATTGTAGTGAATAGTGCACCTCGCAGCAGCATGGGTGACATCTAATTACATTAAACGTGCACAAATACGAATATATTCTTACACATGTAAATTAAAAGCATTTATCTTAAGCGTAACAATCTATTTTAATCGACTGTTCAATTGATGCATTGTAACAGGTCTACGTGTGGGCTCTTGCATTGATGAGGCTGTGGTGAACCATGTATTTGCTCTCGTACCAGGTGAGGCTGTGCAGCCCATATGTGCAGGGTCATCCAGCTGCTCCAAAGCACTCTGCACCATGTGCTCTGCCTCCGCCATAGCACAGTCAAGCAGGGCCTTCTGGTCAGCCAGCAACTGGGCCTTCAGCACGCCCTCCTGCTCAACCTTCGCAGCAGCACAACCATAACACTCAGGCCAACGATGCCGCTTGGCAACTAGCAGTGGGCACGCAGGCACACAAGACGCATGTCCAATAGTAAGCACAAATGCACACACAATAACACGGATAAGGTCTTACATAGCCCTCTGTCAATTCACTGCTGGATTAAGGCACAACATGCCATTTCGGTCATGGGGGTAGTTGAGCATATCTCACCAAACTGGTCAGTTGCCAGGAATTTAACTCAGATGGCCAAGGTCATAATACACTGCATTAACCACTGCACCATCGCTCCCCTGACAAGTTAATTGTTCTTTCAAACAATATTTTACTTTAATATTTAACTTGTGCATAGTTATCGAAGAACCATATATTTTCAATTGATTAATGTTCTGGAACCTTGTGCTCACAAAATTAAATTAAACCGTTAATGTGCTTAACCGTTGGGGCACACTGCATATAACTTTTTTGCTGTACAAGTGAACACAGAATACCTAATTTGTCTACCTAGAGCTGGAAGCAAATAGCATCGTTTTTTTACGTGCAATATCGTAAAATATAAGCCAGATGGGAAAAAAAAAAACGTGACCAGGATGAATGGTGAATGGCTGCAAAGGATGGTGATCACGGGAACACTGGAAGGTGCTCGGGGAAGAGAAAGACCTCGATCTGATTGGACGTCAAATATGAAACATCGGACGGGATGGAAGCTACAGTGAGGGTAAAAAGTATTTGATCCCCTGCTGATTTCATACGTTTGCCCACTGACAAAGAAATGATCAGTCTATAATTTTAATGGTAGGTTTATTTGAACAGTGAGAGACAGAATAACAACAAAATCCAGAAAAACGCATGTCAAAAATGTTATAAATTGATTTGCATTTTAATGAGGGAAATAAGTATTTGACCATCTCAATCAGAAATATTTCTGGCTCCCAGGTGTCTTTTATACAGGTAACGAGCTGAGATTAGGAGCACACTCTTAAAGGGAGTGCTCCTAATCTCAGCTTGTTACCTGTATAAAAGACACCTGTCCACAGAAGCAATCAATCAATCAGATTCCAAACTCTCCACCATGGCCAAGACCAAAGAGCTCTCCAAGGATGTCAGGGACAAGATTGTAGACCTACACAAGGCTGGAATGGGCTACAAGACCATTGTCAAGCAGCTTGGTGAGAAGGTGACAACAGTTGGTGCGATTATTCGCAAATGGAAGCAACACAAAAGAACTGTAAATCTCCCTCGGCCTGGGGCTCCATGCAAGATCTCACCTCGTGGAGTTGCAATGATCATGAGAACGGTGAAGAATCAGCCCAGAACTACACGGGAGGATCTTGTCAATGATCTCAAGGCAGCTGGGACCATAGTCACCAAGAAAACAATTGGTAACACACTACGCCGTGAAGGACTGAAATTCTGCAGCGCCCGCAAGGTCCCCCTGCTCAAGAAAGCACATATACATGCCCGTCTGAAGTTTGCCAATGAACATCTGAATGATTCAGAGGACAACTGGGTGAGTGTTGTGATCAGATGAGACCAAAATGGAGCTCTTTGGCATCAACTCAACTCGCCGTGTTTGGAGGAGGAATGCTGCCTATGACCCAAAGAACACCATCACCACTGTAAAACATGGAGGTGGAAACATTATGCTTTGGGGGTGTTTTTCTGGTAAGGGGACAGGACAACTTCACCGCATCAAAGGGACGATGGACGGGGCCATCTACCGTCAAATCTTGGGTGAGAACCTCCTTCCCTCAGCCAGGGCATTGAAAATGGGTCATGGATGGGTATTCCAGCATGACAATGACCCAAAACACACGGCCAAGGCAACAAAGGAGTGGCTCAAGAAGAAGCACATTAAGGTCCTGGAGTGGCCTAGCAGTCTCCAGCCGTTAATCCCATAGAAAATCTGTGGAGGGAGCTGAAGGTTCGAGTTGCCAAACGTCAGCCTCGAAACCTTAATGACTTGGAGAAGAACTGCAAAGAGTGGGACAAAATCCCTCCTGAGATGTGTGCAAACCTGGTGGCCAACTACAAGAAACGTCTGACCTCTGTGATTGCCAACAAGGGTTTTGCCACCAAGTACTAAGTCATGTTTTGCAGAGGGGTCAAATACTTATTTCCCTCATTAAAATGCAAATCAATTTATAACATTTTTTACATGCGTTTTTCTGGATTTTTTTGTTGTTATTGTCTCACTGTTCAAATAAACCTACCATTAAAATTATAGACTGATAATTTCTTTGTCAGTGGGCAAACGTACAAAATCAGCAGGGGATCAAATACTTTTTTTCCCTCACTGTATATCTGTTGAAAAATACAGCCATAGATAGAGAGAAGTTGAGAGGGCAGTGCAAGGAGATATTGGAAAAGGAAATGATCATGTCACAATGGTCCAAAAGGCCAAGGGACTAGAAGAAATAAAAGATGGAAGAGAAATGAAGTCAGCTGAGAAGAAGATGACAGAAAACACAGAGATATAGTGACACAAGCCAATGTGAAGAGACACTGGGGAAACCATTGCAACAAAAATGTAAACGAGAAAAATATACCCTCGTGAAGAGAACAGAGATGCGTACAAGAAGATTAGTTCAAGTGATAAGTGCACAATTGTATATATGATTTGACCATGACATAAAACACTGTTGAATTACTGTATATCATTAAAATGGTGCACAGTATCAAGTGATAATTGTCACTCATGCTCACACGTGTCAACGGTGTTCACACAATAACCTTAATCCAATTCTAGATTAACCTTAATACAGTTAGAGTGCACAGTAAAGTACTGCCAAAAGTGCTTTGCAAGTTTATAACCATAAATGTGTTAAATTTTAAAGCCAGAGGGCACTAAAGTAGCCACACTTAAATTTTCCAAATTGAAGAAACTGGTTTGTGTAAATATGACTCACTGATGAACCAAGGAATCTGGCTGTGGTTTGTAAGCAGGTCTTTGAAATAAAGAAGGGCAATGAGATTACATAAAAGCCAAGAGTTATATTTTGACCAAGGAGACCCTGAGGATAAATTGCATGCAATACATCAGCTGAACCAAGCATCACAGTGGAAAAAACTTGCAGATCAAGCCGCAATGATGATGACTATATTGCAGTCAAAACCCACCAGGAAATCATTCAACAAATCCAGGCAGAACTTTGCGGGTGAGATAGCGTGTGTAGAGAAAAGTTAATTATATGGTCACACCACCTGGACAGCAACTCCCAGCCACATTCGTCTAAGAGTGACACTTTTACTTCCAGCTGCTCAACTCTTTCCCAGGTCTCCATTTTGAAGATGAATCTCAAATAAATATGGCGAATGTTTAAACGTTGGCATGGACTTGATTTATTATGTATATTTTTGGATCTTTCGGTAAAGTCACGTAGAAGGAAAACAATTTTCTTGCTGTGGTTTTCACACCTGATGATTGCTTGTGTAGCAGTCGAAACGTCGTGAGAATTGTATTGTTTTATATTTTTTTATTTTATTGTTTCCCTTCTACGTGACTTTACCGAAAGAACCAAGATTATGAATCCCTGCAGTCACGAAAGCTTTCAATCAAAATGTATTTTGTATAGACAATTATTTTTGCTCAGACATGTAATTAAGATAACTTAAAACAGGTTTTCTTAGATTAGATTTAGATGAGACTTTATTTATTTCAACAAGGGCCCAATAAGCTGTTGGGCTCTGTTTAAAGGGCGTCCTACACCATAGCCAATACAATGATCTGTATTTGAACTTTTCATGACTCAACATATGTATGCTGATGTGAATTCAATCACAAAAGTCTTAAGCCACCAGCGACCATTGCTGGTCAGTATTGTTTTACGGTGCGTCGGTCTGAACATTGCTTCAAGCCGATCTGGATCGGCCGCAGCCCTTACACATGTGATGCCAAACACGCCTTCTTGTCTCGACTTCGTCAAAAATGTCACCGTTGCATCTCCGACTGGTCTCCTAGCGATCGAGAGCTCAGTTCGAGGGAGCCGGATGTCACTTTCTGGACACGTTGCCCGTCTTGATGCGCAAACGCCAGCACATTGGGCACTTCAGTTGGCGGTTGACGTTCGAAGTGCCCCCGTGGTCGCCCCCCCCCCACCCCCCCCCTCCACCTCCCCCGTGATCCGTGGTTCGAACAAATCACTCAAGACACGTCGGTGTACGGCAGCAAGAGCAGTTCATGCGAATGTTGTCACACGCTTGGCGCAACGGTCCTTGGCTGACTATGCGTGTTGAATTAATGAATTCAATAAATGCATTGGCACGTATTAATATCTGTGTAAACATGACGATCTTGTCTGGTGATGGAGGGTAACTGACAAGTGTTTTGGCATAAAACTACCACGTGGGCCAAACACATGTATGGGTCAACCGCTGAATATTTACCACAGAAAAGGCAAATATGAGGGGTACAATAAATTTCCCCACGGATTGACAACCACATGGTGGGCCACACGGCGGAGAGGCTTCATTTCCAACTACGACTACCCGTTGCACTCAACGACCTTGCCGACTGCAGCTGCGGTGACCTGTCAAAGTAGCCAGTTTTTTTCCGTGAATGCTCACCGATGACACCAGCCAAGAACTGGACTTGGACAATCCACAGGAGCATAGAGACCTGAGCAGAGTCCATTGGTCCTCTGAATCCAGAATGGCAAGATAGTTTTGGCAATATTTCCGCAAAATGTCAATCGAGCTCAAGCTTTTGTATGACAGACATTACCTCATCCAAGGGCTATGTTCTCTTTTACTTTGTATGTGTGGCACAACAACGGATGCTGTGACTACAGAACGGAAAGTTTGGCAAAGTAGACAGCATGCTTAACAACGTTTGCAAAGGCATGGAACAAAAAACAATTTGGAAGGTGTAACAAGACTTCAAAGAACTCAATCCTGAATCTTATCAAACGCACACTAGCTTCCTCATCAACGTTCACCATCTGCACTTTGGGAGTGTGACAAGGCGGGAACAGGGCTAATAATACAGAGCCGCCTCGTTGTGCGAAAGATTTGGCGGATTCGTGCACAGCAGCAAGCGCATTGCAGAGCACCTCCACAAGGGCATGGAGCTCGTGTTGGGCTGCAAGCAGTCGGGCTGCGAGGCTATTGCGGCTACACACAACCTCTTCCATTCACTGCAGCTGTTCAAGACACCACACCCAATGTCTCGCACCGTGACACCACCACTTGGTCATCCACTGCCCGTCCGCTCCCACTGCCGTGTCCACGGGGCAATACACCAGATAGGTGACCTGAATCCCAAAGACGTTTGCTTTGAAGGTCTGATCGAGGAAAGCAGACAACTTATTTCGAGCAACTGCAACCAGACGAAGATCTCGACATCTGCGTCGTCCGATGACTGCTGTGTTCATCACATCTTAAGACTGAATATTGAAAATGTTTTCAAAGACTGCACAGCTCTTCTTTGCGGCATTACCTTTTTTTCTTCGAACATGGAATTACCTTGGGAGCTAATCAGCAAAATCATTGGGTACAAAAAAACAGTCATATGTCTATACTTCAACGAGAAAAATGTTCAGTCGTGATGGGCGGTAAGGACAAATAAATAACCTTTTGGACTCTTAGCTAAGTGCTGTTCATACGGCTTTAACACTTGGGTGGAACAGCTGGTGAAGGCAAACAAAACCATAACCCCAAATACATTAACTCTCAAATATCCATGTCTACGCTGGGATGAAAATTATTTGTGCTTTCAAAAATTAGTTAGTTTTAGAAGCAATGCATCCCTCTTACACACACGCTCACACAGCAGGTAGAATGTTTAGCTGCCTCACTCATGACTCGTGACCGATTTCTTTAACAAACAGCCAGATGACACATTACAAATCTTCACTACCATTATGCACAAGTAAAAATACACGCATTTTCATCACCTAATTTGCGTGTTGTGTATTCGGTGTATTTTAATGTTATTAAGGCTACTCCTCCCTCGACTATTACCCAATGTAATCTAGAGTTGACTGTACAAACACTGGCACAGTAAGAAGCTGTGGCAGTGAGCCATTCCCTCCTCGTTAGTTCAGTGTTCTGCACTCATTCAGAGTCGTCGCTCTCCTGAGAGCTATTAAACTTTACGTGTAGGGCAGCTCTTTTTTTCTTGCTTAGACGAACGAGCACGGCACCGTTGCCTGCATTGAGATATGCCCACTTACAACATAAACACATTGCTGTTCCAAGTCCAGGCTCAAGACCTTCCTTCCTTTTTTCCACTTTGCCTATGACCGATTCTCTCTGTAAAATAAATACTATATTGTTTTCTGTACAGCATGTTGAGATGCACTCGCATTTATATAAATGGGTATTGTATTATGATGAGACATACAGGCATGGAGTTAGGTAAGATGTATCCAAGACAGAGATCTAGAGAGCTCTAAAAAAGGTGAGAGTGAAGAGAGGCAAAGTGAGATAACAGTATGAGATGGCTTCAGATGACAGAAAAGAGAGCGATGATATAACAGGGATGTATTCTAGTGTGCTTGAAAAGTTAGTGAGACGATAAAAGATGACAGGTCGGAGATATAATTTTAAAATATTGAAAATACATGTTTCAAACAAGATGTAAAATAAATGTATTCAGATGAGATAGAAATATATTCAGAGATCAAAATGTGTGATGATGGAACAGCCATTAAAACAAGAAAGCTGTATTCATACCAGATAAAAGAGAAATACAATAATCGGGTTTGGTTTATTCAGATGAGAGAAAATTAATTTGATTTAAAAAAATATATAGTTGACATCTCGGTGGAGAGATGTTAACTTCCTCGCCTGGTTTTCAGGAGGTCGTGGGTTTGATCCAACCCTGACACCTGTATAGTTGGCATTTGCATGTTCTCCCCGTAGTCGCGTGGATTTTCTCCAGGTTCTCCAGATTTTCTGTCCCCATTTAGAAACGTGCGTCTGGAGCAATTTGGCTGCTATACATTTCCACATAAGCCACTATCATTTGAGCTATCATTTGTGACCAAGTCGCTTATGAAAAAGAGCTATATAGCTCAGTGAGCCTTATCCGGTAAAATTGTTAGTTTAATGTATTCAAACAACAGAGAATAGAGAGATCTGCTGGTAGGGATAGAGCCAGAGGAGAGACACCAGCAGCCAGTGGAAGGCGCAGTCTCCAGTGCACAGAGACCACACCATGGCAATTCAAGCGATCACCATGGCGACGCACTATGCAGTTAAGAGGCAATTTCATTATTCCACAGAGTCGGGTCGAATTATTAAATTAATGCACTTAAAATGAGGATAAAAACATATTTATCTTATAATTGCATGCCAATGTGAAATCATTCCTTTGTGCTTGATCAACTTACAGATCTCGTGTATAATTCACACACGTTGCGCTTTCCACCACCAAAATTGTAAATTTTGTTTTGTTTCTTTCCGACCTTAAACCGTACCCTATGTACCTCACAAGTCCCGGGGAAAAAAAAAAAATTACCGCATACAAAGCTGCTATTCGTGGCAGCGCAACTTACCTGGGGCAGAAATTTAACGCAATATATTTATTTAAATGTTTAGCCACCCTTACACATCATCTGACAAGCAAGCCGTGGAGCAGAAGCACCACCTTGTGGGAGAGTTGGCTTTGCAGCGCACTCAGTTCCTGCTCGGAGCGTTCCGCCTCTGCCTTGGATGTGCTCAGTGTCTCGTCCAGGCGTGACTGCAGGGTCTGCATCGCGCTCGCCCGCTCGCCTGACACACGTTCCACATCTGCCCGCTCAGCTTCCAGTGCGGTCAGCCTGGCACTCAGTTCCGAGCTAGCCTGCCAGCACACAGGGGGGCGATTATATACCATCACGTTTTTTTTTTAAATCCAATCCGTAAGCCACAACAGGTTTTTATTCTTGTTATTATATCTACTATCACACTTGTTTAACCAGGAGAGCCTTGCTTGAGTCTCACGACTCTTTTTCAGGAAGGTCCGACTGAGTTTTCGGTAGGGAGCAATGGTCGCTATGTATATTCTAATTGAGTAATTTGTACTATCCACCAGTTCAAAAACTAGATAAGATTAAGGTGGAACACACTCCTGCGGAGGGAGCTGGTAGCAACGTTGGGTTGCTCGGTCAATGGCCAGGGTCAACGGCGGCGTGGTGTATTCCGCAAATATGCCCGACTGTGAGGGCGGGCACAAGCTGGCGTGAGTAGGTTAAACGTTGAGCTTTATAAGGGTACCACGGGGTGACCAGCCCCTCCCCACCCAGCCCCACCCCTCCCACCCCCCACCCAGCCCCACCCCTCCCACCCCCCACCCAGCCCCACCCTCCCCACCCAGCCCCTCCCCACCCTCCCATCCCCACCCAGCCCCTCCGCACCCTCCCCTCCCCACCCAGCCCCTCCCTCCCCACCCAGCCCCTCTCCACCCTCCCCTCTCCACCCAGCCCCACCCCTCCCATTTTTAGATGCACGACGGACGGATGGACACAATAATCCCCTGTGGGCTGGTGTAACCAGGAGGTTCCTACCAGTATGAGATGCAGCCCTGAAAATTATTGCCCATGCCACTGCTGGCAGAAGGGCCTCCACTAGAGCTCTAGAGATCTCCTCTTGAGTGTGGTCTACTTTTCAACCCAGGTCTGGCAGCTTGGAAGAGATGCGATTACCCACAGTTTACCCCACTACAAGCGACCTGCTGATCATCTGTGGTGCACCCATTTATTCTGCTGGGCGGATGGTGGTGGGGGCATTTAAGAAAATAATTATTTAAACTGCAAAACTGGGAGATAGAACCAGTGACCTCTAGACTGCAAGTCCAGTGTCATAACCATTACACGATGTCACGATCCAAAAGTTGATAGTGGTATCTTATTCTTCATGATAAAGTAAACGTTTCTGCGCTCTATCCACACTTTTGTATTTAATTTAATATCAGCCTTCTTAATTAACACTGTACTTTGACCATGACTAATAAAAGACTTTACTGAAATGAGTTGAAAACATTAATTATGATTCTTCATATTTACATTGCAAAGAAGATGTCTCAAGGGTGTACTTGGAAATGAAAGTGAGAATAGGCAGCAGAATTGGCAAACATGCAAAACCATCACACCCAAAAGGCAATTTTTTGGATTAAACAAGCATGCATATCGAGGTGGGAGATTTTGTATTAATTTGTAATGAGGAAATGTAGTTAACATCTACTAATCTTACAGAAGAGATTGTCACAGAATTCTGATGTCAAAAAGTTGGAATGTGTACTATACAGGAGATGGACTTGTACGCTGAGCTGCAAAAGGGTGATACAGGTGCAGCCCTGAAATTGCTTGCTCACGCCACTGCTAGCGGAAGGACCTCCCATGAGAGGGAGCCTTAGAAAACCCCTCTAAGAGGCAGTTTTATCCGACTCTGCCATGCTGGTCAACATCTTGGAAATAGTGGGCTCTAACAATCGACAGTGGTGCACCCATTCATACCGCTGGTATAAGACAGCAGTGGGGGGGGGGGGGGGTGTTGAGGAAACTTGCCCATGGCTTCAACTACCGTGCCGGGAGGCTGAACCCGGCGAATTTTTATTGCAAGTCCGGTGTGATAACCATCACTCTGCAGCAAACCCTCCCTTGTTGTATGTGTTCGGCGATGCCAGCTGTTAGGAGCACATGCCTCCTGTGATGAGCGCAGCGCCTCTTTCAGGGAGGCCACCGCCTGCCTGCCCGTCTCGAGCTCCTGCTGCAGCTGTTCCACGCCCTCGCTCTGACTCCGAACCTATCACAAACATACAAAAGCGATCTAACCCAAAAACCTTTATGATGAATAATATTGGTCGCGAAAGCCTACGTGTTAAACAGTAATATACTTGCGCACGAGTATATGTGCAATGCATGCTGAAGCGTGAATGGTTAAGGTAAAGGTGTAGCCCTGCAATTGTTCTATCATGCCACTGCTGGCAGAAGTATTATGTACACGAGGCAATTCAGATTTACAAACACAGACACAATTTCAAACGAGAAGATGGTTTCAAATTAAGCAATCATTGGAAAGATGTTCTAAATCATACCAAACATTAAACTAATTTCAATGGCACAGTATATCAATCCAAGTAGTGATATACCAAACTTTCACAGCAGCTTATTTCCCTTCAAGACAACATTTCCATTGTCAAATTCCCCTCCCCCCTCCCCCCGTGTTAAGTGTTCTATCAGCACTTTAAGTGTTCTATCAGAACTTTATGCTAATTCCTTTATCAAAGAGTTTGGTTTCCTCCCACACAGCTTAAAGGACGCGACCTGCCTTGACTTTATTTATTCCAACGCTGTCTTCGTGACAGCACGGTCCCCTTCACCTGATGAAGGCCACTTGTGTTGTGGCCGAAACGTCGTGATTTATGTTGTTTTATTTTTTACCTACGTGACTTTACCGAATAGAACCAAAGAGTATAGAAGTATTATGGACTACTTATTCATGCTGACCAAACACCTTGGAAGCAGTGGGGCTGTATTATACCTCCTGTAATATACTGTGCGAGGTACAGCACACGTAGGATATGTACCAGAAGTGCATGTTTATCATACTTATGTAAACTACACTGATTGTTAAATATATAAATGGGGCATCAGATCACTGATTAAAATACTATGATGCTGATGATACACACTTCAAATAATGCATGTAAAACGTCTATTATTTTTACTGGTATACTCTACGTGTAAGTAGAGTATACCAGTAAAGTAACAAAAAATACATGTCACAAGGGGAGACAAGAAAGGAGATACACTCTGACCAAGGCTATTCATAACGATTTCATAAGATGTGTTAAAACAAAAAAAATTAAAAAATAAACGCATGAACATAAATGGAGATATTATTGTCCATCCCAGCATTTGTGACGACACAGTTGTTATAACAATAACAAAAAAATGACATTAAATAATGTGACAACCTAATAAAGAAGGATACCGATTTGGGCTGTCGGTAAAAAAATGAGTAAAACAGAAAGTAATGCACAACAAATTCACCAAAGAACTGAAGATATACGTTGGAGGGACACAACTGTTAAACAGCTCAGAGTAAATATACCGAGGGCAATTATTCAAGGCAAACCAGGACAAAAATAATAAAATAAAAGTAGGTAAGAGCAGATTATAGTGCTGATACAACACTGAACGTTACACACCTAACAATAATACAATCGAGCACAATGCTATTGTGTATGCAAAATTGCTCCATGCTCATTTGAATACGGAAATATATCGACTCATTCATTATTTATTCAGTTTGTAACATGCACAAATTTAACTTAAAAAGGACATTCAGGAGGCACGGGAGAATAAATTACAGAAAAATACAAGATTATATCAAAAGGTCGACACTGTCGCTGATGTGCATGGTGAGAGAGGAGAGAATTAATCCACGTGACTGAAGCTTTGACGTCGAAGAGACGTTTGCCTTGTCTGGTTCTAGAAACGGCCTTGACAAGGAGGCCACTTGAGGCAGATCGGTGGTTGTGAGATAGAACATAAGTTGAGACAGCAGAAGCTAAATAGGTTGGTTGACCAAGCATGTGTGCCTTGCAACAGAGGACAGCAAGATTATACAGAATGCGTTTAACAGGGACGCCAGTGACGCTCATACAAAACTTAGGACGCTACCCTGTTTGTGTTGTTTGTTTTCCTTCCCCCGCACCTCCAATTAGCACGGTTGGCTAAGTACGGTGCAAAACAAGTTCAACATACATACATGCATGTGTACTTTTAGATAATTACTAGATGTGAAGTATGACTATTGTGTACTGTGGCACGTGTGTGCCTTAGCAGAAGCAATAACAGGTTTTTTTTCCCACCTGCTCCTCTGCTCGGTGCATGATGCTCTGCATGGAGGACTGCAGCTGCTGCCGAGCAGTCTCTGCCTCCTCCTTGGCCTGCCGCACGGTTGTAAGCTGGCGAGCCACCTCTGCATTCTGCGTCCCGCACCGGAGCACCGTTGTTACATCAACCGGTGTTCACATCATGCAAGCTATCGCAACTCCCGACCGTTTTAAAAAGGCAACTCCGCCAATCATTATGAGAAAGAAAAATAAATCAATTTAAAACTGTATGTTACCACTTCGGTAAAGACGTTAATTTGAAAGTAAAAGTGCCACATGTGAAAAAGTCTAACCTTGCGCAATAAGTCCGCGTGGTTCTGCACCAGTCCCGTGTACTTCTCCTTCAGCTTGTTGTAGCGCTGTTCATTCGCTTGCGCCCGTTCTAGGAGGCACAGAGAAAAGTTCACAAGATTTAGCATCGTCCTGTAGTCGTGGAGCTCTCACGATTCATTTGGTAATGTTTCGTCAAACTTCCCCAAACCAAACTCTCTTATTTTCAAATGTGCGCGCACGCCACAGCTGCGTCTCAGTGTGTCCCACGTGCCCCCCCCCACACTGACTCTCTATCTCAGTGAGACTCTTCTGGGTCTTCTCCGTGTCCTCGGATCGCCGTTTGACGTCCTCGAGCTCGGTGCGCAGAAACTCCGTCTCGTCCCACGCCTGGCCACGCAGGTGCCGTGCCTCCGCCAGCTCGGCCTCCAGCTCCCCAAGTCGGCTACGCAGGGCCGACGCCACGCGCTCCGTCTGCCAGAGAAACACGAGGATCTCGCTATTGCTTCGTACAACAATAAAACGCCATTCGCCACGAAGTGGCGGTGACACGAAGTGTTGAAGGCTCACTGGCAGGAGGTCACGGGACAGACCCAGGTGCCATGGGTTGACTGGCTTGCTTCATACAATACCTTCCAACACACACGGAAACACGTAAGCAGTAAAGGCGCAGCTGTGCAACCTCTTGCTCGTGCCAATGCTGGTGGAAGGATCTCCAGGAGAGGGAGCTCTAGAGAGGCTATGTGGCCGATTCATCCACCAAACATCTTAAAAGAGGTGGGTATACCCACGCTTTACCACACCATACGTGTCCTGCAAATCAACTTACTGTGGCATATGAATGTATACTGCTTGGTGGATAAAGGTGCGGAGATTTAAGAAACTAATTCAGTATGACGAGCTGAGCATAGGTTTCACAGCAATAACCAACTCCCTCACAAGCGCAGTGTTAATTAATTCACGTAGAATTTCGTAAATTACTAAATAAAAATGACTTTTTTTTACATTCCTGCAATCATATTTTCTATCGTTATTGTAACGTACCTATTGCATATATTTAGTTCAACCGGTTTTAATAGTAGTATAAATAGGAGAGTTTAGCACTGTAGCTAATTCAGTTTTCCTAACGCACAATCCGCGGCTGTTCCTCGGTTCAATGTGATCACAAAATGATTGCTGAAGAGGCACGAGTGTACGCTGCTGGTTAAAATGTGCAGTGTAAACGTGGTGAAGGGAACTCTCTCAGTGCGAATCCCTTTTGAGATTCACAAGAAGCCTTACACACTGCTCACGAACGTGAATTGCGATGTCAAATGGAAATTAAGGCCGCAGCACCTCCAGCCGTTGGGTGTCCAGCTCCTCTTTCAAGGCGTTGATCTCCCTGTAAAGCTGCTCGATAAGCTTGTCCCTGTGAACAGAGAAGATGTGATACATCTGTTAAAAATTGGTAACGAGAGCCTTAGCAATTTTACAAGAATATAAATGATTTCCAGGGCAACTAAATTCACTACCAATGAACCCGAATTAAATACTTCAGTTCAGTGACTTTAATAACAAAGATAATCAACAGCCGTAATTTTTTATTAAGAAAAATACCACCATGAGTTCACTATTACGGGATGAGATAAAAAATATATACACACAGAGATTAAATTAGTGTGCCTTGTTTTTGATATAATTTAATGCTGTTTAATGAGATTTAGAGTTTACATCAGTGTGGTGCTAATTTCAAGCTCCAATCACAATTTTATTATCGATGGTTGTGAGCAAGGGATTGACATATGTAAATTCAAATTATACTCCAGAAGGGCTAGGAAAAATAAATTTGGTAAATCTATAGTTGAGTCTATGGTCATAAGAAAAAAAATAACTTTACAACCAAGAGTGACGTTTGTATCCAAAGGTATTAAACAGTGGTGAATCCAGATGACATATTGTTTAAAAAATGTGATGTTTCTGGAAGTGTCACAATGACGCCATATAACAGAGGCAAAGTCCACTACTACTACTACCCATTTTTACAATATTGGCAGCCCTTGCACATAAAACAAAACCAAGCATACACATGAATGGCGATATGCAGTATGTTTTGAAACAATTTTTTCAACTGATGGCACAAATTAACTAATTTGTTTGACAGCCCTGCAAAATGAACAGTTGATTTTATTTATTGACATTTTGTGATAACAAAAAAACTACTTTGTATTAAATACCAAACAGTGACTTATGTCCACATTAGCGCAGACTATTTGTGTTTTATCTCTTTTGTCCGTGTGTCATACCCACCGCTCGTCCCGGGAGACACCATTCTGGCTGTTGAAGTTGAAAGGTGTGCTGACTGTGGAACTTCCAAACAAGTCATCAAAACGGTCGTCGAATTGGCTCTAAAACGACAGAAGAAAGATGACACTGTGAATTCTCCTGGATATCCCATCATGATTTTAACAGGGTCCCTTCAGAATTAATATTTTTTTAAATTCCGCATAGTTCTGCCAAATGGTTCTCAACAACTCTCCAAAAATGTTTCACCACATGGGGAGGTTGCGAAATTTGAAAGGGCCCTATAATAATGATTCCCCTGTGCTGGTGTAGATTAGGAAATAACATTGCAACTGATCATGTTTTTTTTTACTCAGACCAGAACTGAATAAGAAGAATGTGCATTAAATGAGTTTAAAAAAAAGAACACTGCTGAACTTGTTAATGAAAACGTGTGAGATTGGAATTTGTAAAAGTTTAATAGTATACGCTGGATAAAACATGTAAGTATGGTGACTTAGAAAGGACAACAAACGAAAAAGTTGGTGCAGAGAAATTAATCAAAGTGGTAGATGATACGTGATTACTTGTTATGTTCGTACGACGTTTAAGGTGTCTGAAGGGACTGCACAGCACTTTGGCACAAATAGCTTAAAATTTGATTTGTTTCTAATTGAAAAAGACAGTGCATTGACAATTGCATGTAATATCGATGAAAGAATCACATTTTTGGCCAGAATACAGAATTCGATGTCAACACATCAGGGACGTGCGGTCAGGGAAGGCAGAGCCTCACCTATCATACTCCAAAGAAAACAGCTGTTACGAAAATAAAATAATCAAATGAAATATTCAGATTTTTCCACTGATCTGTGTTATAAATGTCATTTCTGTACGATTCCAATCATTTTTATAGTCAAATTGCCAAATTTGCGGCGTTCCGCTGCAAATACAGGAAGAGACGAGAGGTGAGGCAGCGACACGCTCAGCCTCCCCTCTGATTGCGCAACCCCTCAGTAGCTGGATGGAGCACGGGCAATAAGCGCGTGCCTTTTACTATCTCAGTATGTCACCAATGTAATGTTTGTAGACCCCTTCATTTCATGTCCTCGCCTTCCATACTCCAGGTAACTTATTTCACGTATATGTATAAATATATTTAGGCTCGCTGGTCTCGTCATGAAACTGCAATGAAAAAGCACCAGGGGAGGCAGCAATCACATCTGCCTCACTGAGAGGGACGTGTCTAACACGCCCCCCTCAGTGAGGCCACGCCCCCCTCCGTCAGGCCACGCCCCCCTCGGTGTGTGAATCTGGCTCTGACACTAGCCAGTGCCTACCCAGCCATTGACCTCACCGCACGTCACTGCAACACATGTATGTAGAATTTACTATTGTCAGTTTCAGAACAAAACATCGGTCTGGTGGCACTTTCTTCTGGCCAAGAAGTATAAGATAAATTTTATTTTTCCTGAAATAACAATCAGATGATAATTTGCTTGAAGCTAAGATTATGAGTTTATTACCATGTTCAGAAATTTCTATATACTTTTCACAACGAATTTTAAAATTCACAATTAGTATTTTGGGTTAGATTGTGTGTGAATAATGCCAATTATATTCACACAATCGAATTAGCATCATCCTCCAAAAATCGAAGTATGATTTAACCAAAAATGGAATTATGTTATACACCAGCACAGAACTTCTACAAAGAAATTATAATAAAAGCAAATACAAGACGACAAAAAAATACACAACAGATCAACCTGCGCTAACACGAACTCCCCCCCTCCAGGGAAAACAGCCAAGGAGATGACCTTGCACTGCACTACAGAATGAACAATAGATAAAATACTCTTTTCAAATACACAAACCAGTGCAATTATTAAGCAATTATACCGCATAAGGGCCCGAATATCTGAGATAATACCGCATGTGCCTCACCACAGGTTTCCTGAAAATAACAGACTGGATCAATCTTGAGTTGAAGCTTTCGTGACCGCAGGAATCCATACTCTTTGGTTCTTTCGGTAAAGTCACGTAGGTATAAAATAAAATAAATCACGTTTTGGGCGCAACACAAGCATCCGTCATCAGGTGGGAAAGCCATGGTCTGCTGCTGCTGAGGCAGACTGTTTTAAAAGGTTTGAAATGGGTGTAGCTCAAGGGTTATAAAGAAGTGGCCGGGGCTAGTGATGTTAATGTGAGAAATTAGCGTGATGTTAATGTGAGAAATTGGCATGTTACTGTAAGATAGAAGAGCGGCCTCCTCGACGAGTGCACGGAAGTGGCTATGTTAATGTGAGGTATTAGCATGATGTTAACGTGAAACGTCGTGATTTATTTTATTTTATACCTACGTGACTTTACCGAAAGAACCAAAGAGACTGGATCAATTCATAATGAGAGCTCAAGGAGCCGAGAATAATTATTAATCAGGTGATGACGTCAGTGTGCACTTTTTTGATCTAATATTCTCTGCGGGGAAACAACATTCAGAGTGGATGAGAAGCATCCTATTTTAAAAATGAATGATCCGCTGTTTCTGTAACTGCCTAGTTTGAACGAATTACCCTGTATGTATGCGGTGTAACCCCATATGTATGAACAGGGAGGTGAGACTCAGCACTGCCATCTTGTGGCTCCAAACAGCTAGAAAGTCTACAGAGTTATCCACCCAAGTACTAACCAGGCTCGAGCTTGATTTACTTCTGAGATATGATGCGATCGGGTATACTGTATATAGAATGAGGGTAGGCTAATCTGGAAATGTAACTAAATATACTTGTGACCAACATAGCACTTTATAGAGGTTGTGGTATTACCGATGCTTACACTAATTCATGGCGTATTCAGTAAAAGGGCAATTTCATTTTCGTCTGTTCTAAATTTGATAACGCACAATGAACGCCCTGGTATCTGCCATGGTATCTGCCCTGGGATCTGCTGAATCGACAAACACTATCCATTTTAAAACCCTCCACTAGATGGAGACAACCAACAACTCAAGTTACACAATGTTTTCAATGGCCAGCTCACTTACAAAAAGGATCACCATTTATTTATCCAGGGGTAGCACTATTTAGCCAAGCACACAGCCACCACGGGAATGTTCGTGATAACGTTAAAAAAAGCTGAGCAAGACAAACACAAGTGATTACCGCAAGCTCATTAGATTTTAAACATCCTGTTTACGGTATATCTTTGACCGTACACTGAACTCGTACAGTAATGCAAGAAAAAAGAATGCTTTGTTTACAAGTGATGCTCTTGGCAGCTCAACTTGCACGAACTCTTTAACAGCCTGGGTGCAGGGCTTCATACCTTGTCTGGGAGACTAATACAAGCAAGGGAGAGAGGTATTCTGCCAATACACTAGTGGGTGCCCTAGATATCACATTACCAACAAGACACAAAATCAATGTCTGCTGAAATTAGCTACTGCAGAGTTGGCAAGCTCATGTGTGCAAGACAACCGATTGCTATTCTGATGTGGCTGCAGCTATTTGACGGAGACTGCCCGTGCAAGCATGTCCTGTATTACCTCCAAATGTAACTAGCTTCATATATATTATTTTAAATCCCTTCAAATCAATTCACAGTCAAAATGTAATGTTTGGAAATTCAATTTATGCACATTTTACGAATTACTTGCAAATTACTTGATTGGGGGAAAAAAAACATGGAGCGACATCGCCCTCTCCTGTTCAACTATATTTGTGAAACAAGCACCTCAATGACATTCATGTGCGATAAGAATGGCGTGAATCCTAAATGTACGAATCACTATTTGATTTTTGTCATACAAATGTACGTTGAACCCAGAATACAGAGGTGACCATTAGTGACAGAAAATGCCCACCGCAAACTCCATTATGCTCCGACGTCGCTAAAAGATGCACAACAGACGTGTGGAGCTTCAACTGTGATTGTTGAATAGTGTGCAGTGAGCATCTTCCAAGAATGAGTTGCCACTGCACCAGCTTAGCCATTTACATATAACAAGCTGGAAATTGCCTGCAGAAGTCGGGAATGGTCATCAACATGGCAATACTGTATAACAACCTCTGGGACACACATTAACAAAGTAAGCTGCATTGCATGTGCTATGCACACGTGTTGCTCATTTGACTTTGTTCATGCATTAAAAAATATAAAAAAATAAATTATCTTATATACTTGATGTAACATTCATATATTCCCAACATGCAGTGGCAATGTTAGAGAGAGTTTTGATTGGCCTACACACTTCTGTTGTATTCCACATTTTCCTTCTTGCTCCAGAAACATAACCAATAACTATCTAGGTATCATACCAGAGTCATCGACATGTGTCTTTCCAAGTAGTCAGACATGGTACTGATTTGTGGGGAGAGCAATGGAAATGCACAGGTTCTGGTACATTTCAGTGACTGGTATTTACGTGCTCCACCTAGTTAAAGATAAACTGTGCCTTGCTACATGCAGGAAAATTAAGGGCCGAGTGTCTCAAATGCCTGAAAGCTTGAGATCTGATTATGTCCGTCCAGTGCTCGCTGAGCTGCATCGGCTTCCAGTTGCCGAATGAATTCGTTATAAGGTCGTACTTATTACACATAAAGTGCTTGCCATAAATGAACCACAATATCTTGCTGCTTTCGTCAAGGAGCATAAACCATCACACAAACGTCCGGTCATTCTCACAAAGGCTTTTGGCTAGCCATCGAACAAAAACGGTCACTGCATCGCGCGCTTTCAGATGCGGCCGTCTGGAACGCTCTTCCTTCCGATATTAGGAAGCCACTGGAGCTGTCTACTTTGAAATCTATATTTTAAACTAATTTCTTTAGAACTGTTTTCTGTATTCAGTTTGTTGTCCTTCCCTCAGACCTCCGGTTAGCACGGTTGGCTACGTACAGTGCGAAAGAAGTTCAACATACATACATACTTACAGAATCCATCCCCTAGGGGTCAATGTAACGCTTTGCATGCCAGTAGCGGAAATAATTTCCTGTCTAGCAATCTTGACTTCTGAGAGGTAAAAATGTGGATTAAAATGCTCACGTTGTACTTCTGGAATGGACCGCGCATGGTCATGAATTTCAAAGTGCCCTGGAAAGGGCACTATATACATCCAAAATGGAATAGAATGTAGTCGGAATTTAATATAAGCGTTTTTTGCAAGCCAACTCACTCAGTTGCCACTGATGATGGGTAATAATGCAGGCACAAGCATACAAAAATAGCTATGTTATACTGAAATAAATATATTTTTTCCCCACAGTTAAAGGAGCAACTCAGATGAGTGTTTTAAGTATAACAAACCAAAATAAATAAATATTTCTTTTAATACATTTTACATTAGAATTCCAAATTATAGTGGCCAAAGCACCCCAATAAAAATGCGTTCCCTATGCATTATTTATAACATGTAAGAGAGTGAAAGGTAAAAAGATGTAACAAGGATTTTATATTTCCTCATCATCATGAGACAGTCTGTTCCCAAGGACGATGACCCCTCCTGCATCTGTAGTCGGTTGTTACATTTGTTTCCTGTTTAGTTCCCTTGTGACTAGCAATACCAGCGTTTGAACGACACACACCCTTCCACAGAGCTCACATCACACAGTGGGCTGAGGCTAAATCCTGAGATCCAGCTTCACCGGGCGACATTGTAACCCACCGCTTCGAACCCTCTTCACCTGACTTGTTATTTCTCCGTGCCTTTATATTTTGTAAAGCCTGTCTGGGTAAATCAAAACAATGATGCACATAAACCAGGGTTGGTTGGATCCTTGCCAACGCTGTGAAGTCGTCAACAATGACCTGAAATGCCCCATAGCCACACTCAAGTATATATTTTGTTGCTTCGTTTTTTAGGATTTGTATTTTATATGTGACGTAAAATCTAATCTGCCCCCACAGAACACAAACTGCATTTTTGAACCACGGTAACATTTTATTGTAAATACAACTCATTTCATTGATTGTCTTAATTTATATGTTCCATGTTAAATTACCTGTGTATATTAAAATAATTGTAATGTGCCTTTTTTAAACCTGTTATGTTCATTACATATCGAATGTATCCTTTTTATAGATTAACTTTCAGAAAATTAGTTTCATGGCAGATAATATTCACCTACAATTTTTGCTGAGGGCATCATTCTTCAGAGGGCATCTATCATATTCTGGTGCCAGTTAATTATTTTAAAACTTCTTAGAACTCACAGTAAAAAAGTATGAGTTGACAATATCGATCAAAATATTAACCCAGGGGCATACCGCTTAGCACTGTGCATATACAGCGAAACAAAAAAACTCAATAAAAGGGGCCTTCTGGAATGTTGCATCAGACCATGTGTGTGTGAGACTACCGCTTGTATGGCAGGCAAGGCTGCATTTGCTGGGTCACGTAGCCTACATGCCCAGTCACCGCATGCCTAAACAGCTTTTGTTCGGCCGGATACAGGGGGCTAAACGGGCGCGGCATGGGCTAGAAAAGAGATGGAGTGATGTGGTACAGGAGGATGTGGAGCCAAGTGGACGTGCCGATGACTGATACCAACGGTGTCAAGATCAGCCTCTGTGGAGGAGGCTTGTGAAGGATGCTACCGGGCAGTTAGAGGCAGTCGCCCTCCAACAACAACGGAGGGCGGAGGAGCGACGCTCACAACAACGAGTGGAGCGCGGGGTGGCTAAAGCACAGCAAGTTGGCACAGTAGGGGGCACAGGTGGTGCATCAGCTAGTCATCTCAGTCAGTCGACCCGTGGCACCTGGGTCTGCCCCGTGACCTCCTGCCAGCGGGCGTTCAACACTTCAAGTGGCCTCAACATGCACATAGCCTGGCACAAGCGTCGTGGTGATATCACCGCCACTTAGAGGCGAAAGGCAGTTGTTGTTGTATGGCAGAATATACACTGTATGTATATCAAACACTTGCAAACTATGAGCCAAATGTTGATTACGCTTTCAGAAATAGCACCTTAAATGTTCATCAGGCAGCATTAGAATGAAATTAAGACCATAATCCAAGTAGTGGAGTGGTTAGCTCTATGAACCTGGAGACCTGAGTTGGATTTTCAGCCATGGCTATTATATCAGTGGTTAGTGATATCCAAAACGGGTGTTACCCTGTCACCCCTTCTCCCTCACCAACCCACACCACACAGACCAACATGGTGCAGTACGGTCAAACAGCCCCATGAACGACCCGGTGTGGGGAGGCCTTCATCCAGCAGTAGATTGCAAAACAGTACAATATGGTATATGCAGCATCTAAATGTGAATGCCTCTCAAGATGCTGCACAGAAACAAATAACAAAATTATTTAATATATGGTTGCCTTGTTAATTTACTTATATTTTTATTTTATGTATTATTATGGAGGTGTAAATGTCCGATACAAAAAGTCGCATTAAAGGCCTAAAATCTTCATTTGTTTTGCATGCTCATGGGAATTGAAAACGTGCTTTGTATTAATATCATAAGCACTTATTCTGAAGCAGAACACGATGAATACATTGCACAAATTATTTTCCTAAGGACAAAAGAGTAACTGGAGAAATCTGCTTCAAACTTAACTCATTAATGTAAACCCAACTCAAAATTCATACAAATGGGTGAGCAACCTACTTGCCCTGCTGTGATCTACTAGCAACCTTGTAGTCCTGTAAATTGGGAGTGTCAAACACACGTGAATGTTTGCACAATCCACCAACCTCACCTTCAAAGCAATAAATTAGAGGTACGTACCACTGCTCCTGGTAATTATATTGAACTAGTTTATTTGCCCGTCCTTGGACGGAAGCTGTAATATTAACGAAAAAATTGAGCACAGTATAATTGTATCTTGTGTAAATTTAATGGCAGTGAATCTTTCACAAATGTATGTCATCAAACATTTCACTGCATTTCACTATAGCACTGTATTAATGGCAGCAGGGGCGGAGCCAGGATTTCAGGCCGGGGTGACATTCAACAAATTTTAATTTCAAGAATGATTAGAGAGTCAGGCTGTTGAACTAGACGCCATCGGTTGGCGACACACTCTGAAAATGCAGTTGCACTGAGTACGCCAGACCGAGTGTCGTACACTTATACGCAGAATGTCACCCCCATCACCCGCCCCCCCTGGCTCCGCCCCTGAATGGCAGTGAATCTGGCACAAAACGAAGTCATAAAACACCTCACTTCATGTCACTGTAGCACTGTATAAAACTCACCTTCAATTTGTTATTCTATTCTGCTTTCGGTAGCTGGGGTTGATATAAATTAGAATTTGATACAATATCTAGAAAATCACCGAGAAATGTCTATTTTACCATAATGTAGAAGCATAAATTAGACTTACCTTTTGTCTCAAGTGCTGAAGAAATAAATAAAGACACCAAATCCACTTTGTTTCTGCGTATATTTATTTACTAGATTAACTTTCAATAAAGAAACGTCAAACTTAAAGCGAATTTGCGATAAAAACATATTTCCGCTCGACCTTCTTCTGCGTGAGTGTAATAATCCACCCGCTCATGAATATTAATGACGGGGGGGGGTGCTGCATGTGGAGTGACGTCACGCGCGTTACACACAAACAGACATTCTTGGCTCATTATAGTAGTAACTAGCTTTTTGCCCGTCCATTGATGGGTGTATATTGCAGTAAATCTCAAATATTCAATAGAAAAATTGTTCAGCTCATGATAATAACGGAGGGGTTGCCCCATGTGGAGTGACGTCACCCGCTAATGGTTATTGGGGAGGGGTGCGACATGTGGAGTGACGTCACCCCCTCATGGTTATTGTGGAGGGGTGTGGTATGTGGAGTGACATCACCCGCTCATGATTATTAATGAGGGGAGGGGTGCGGCATGTGGAGTGCACGACCTTCTTGTGCGTTTGTGTAAATTTCCACCCACTCATGAATATTAATGAGGGGGGGCCTCATGTGGAGTGACGTCACGCAGGGGGTGGGCCTCATGTGGAGTGACGTCACGCACGGAGCGGACAGACATTTCTGAGTGATTACAGTAGGTAATAATCAACCTCCCTATGGGCAAAATTAGTCTGTCAATGGAAATACATTTGCCACCAATTGTATTTATTGAATTACCAAAACAGCCAAATATTTTACAATTTTTCTTAGAATATGGATAATCTGATAAAAAAAAAACGCGTAAAAAATTCCGCCAAAAACACACATCACTAGGTGAATGTTTTCAAGTTGCTTCGATGCGAGGCGGGCGGACGTACATACCTGTGTTGAGGTGGAGTCCGTGTCCACCAGATCGTCCGTCTCCAGCACAGCCTCGCTGTCCGGAGACGCCGACTCCTCGGGGATCACCACCACTGGGCTCACGTGCTCGGACAGCGCCGACGCACGCAGGAAATTGGGGGGGATCTGCAAAACGTGGCCCAGAGCCCGGCAACATTTTTTTTTTTTTACGCATCGCCACAAACGGGACACGGTGCACTTGAGTGTTACCGTGCGAGAAAAAATGCCAGCCGATGTGATACAGGTAAAGCAACGTCAAATACATGGGATATTTTGCGATGCTGAAAAGTCACCAATGGGCAGCACAAGTATAACACAAATTCAGTCCCCTGTGAAGAGATTGGAAGACTTTATAAAACATGTCAAGCTTGGCCATCATCTCTTACCTCTGGCAACTGAGGGATTTGAATGAGCCTCTTGAAGTACTGCAGGTTGCTGGAGCGATGCAAGTATTCCTTCAACCTGCACAGAATAAACAGAATTTATACAACAAATTTTGAAATTAGAAATCCAGCGTGTAATGCACATGTTTGTGAATGTTTTGCGTAACAATCTTGAAACTCCATGAACACCACCAACAACAACATCAAATTTTTTATCCACCACGGTCATGGTGGAGAATGTCTCAAAACATATCCTTGCGTCGATTATAGTTTTTAAAGTATTGTTCATTACGTGATACTTGTAAGTCACGTAAAATGCACAGAAAGATAGTTTCGCTTCTGGCATTCAAGGGTGGCAAAAGTTAACCTCATATTGAGGTCTCATATGTGAGAACATGATTATTCATGTGAGAGCAGTCTAATGTAAGAGCAGAGAAGGCTGCAGTAAATTGGGTGTTCGTGTTCTGTTGATTTGACAATTATGTTATTAAATTCTGCTCACACCTAAGCGTTGCATCATCGCATCACAGATTATTATTATTATAATTGTTATGGCCATCATGTTCGCAACATTAGCACCACTGTTGTAAAACAATATATTTTGAAGGCCGAAGAAGTTGAGATCTTTTTTCAATATGTGAGCAAACAAATGCCTGAAATAATAACCATTAAGTCTCCACATTCTGCCCATAATGATCATGATTATCATGAGCTGTTGGATATTCATAGTTGATCACAACCACATACATGTGCAGTGGGTCCAACTGAGTCGCAGACGTTCTTCTTCAGAGGCAACACATTTATTACACAACACGTATATACAAAAGGGGTAGCTGCCCCTTTACCAGATACAGCCTAGGGTGGTGACCACCCAGCTAACTGCACTACCATACAGGAGTTATGGCTACGACGGACCGGCCCTGTACTCGGGTCCTGGGCCACGTGTTGTTGCCTTTTCAGATGTACAACGCGGAGCTTCCAGCTTGCAGAACGAAGCAACCCCGGTCCCTCCCAGGAACCCACCTTATATCCTCCTGGGTCGGGGCCGGCTCCGCCCTTGGCCCCGCCCACCTTCGAGAGCGTTCCAGCTCTCTCTCGATCCCTCTCGAGAGCTCTCCCCGGACACGTGAGCACCCCCTAGCCTCCCCACCTGGGGGCCTCCCTATGGACACTCCGGATCACGTTCCTACGGGGTCAACCAGAGTGCCATGGCCCGGGGCAACCCTGCCCCTGGGCTGACTCTCCCGCTCCCTCTAGTGGGAGCTCGCACTGCACACTATGCTTGGTGCCCTCGCTATCCCAGCGCTCACCAAGCCCCGCTAGGGCTGGTACTACACCCACCTACGGGGCGTACGCGATGACAGTGCATCGCACGCCATGCTCTGCTAGAGCCGGCATCACTCTGTAACACACACGACGCTGTCCGCGATGTAAGTACATCGCACGCCATGGCCCTCTAGCGCCGGCACCATACAGTGACATCACCAATGTCACGACACATGCATTCATGGATTTTATTGCGGATGAACAGTTCGACCAAGAAAAACATTTTAAAATGGTGCTCTTCTGATTAATGGATTGACTTACTTCTTAAACTGCTCCAGAAATCGGTCCCTGTGACCTTGCAGTGTATCAGCAGGAAGACCTGAGCACAGATGACGAATGTTATTCTGTGGAATGTACAGTGATGCTCATGGCACTGAGGCACAATATCTGTAATATGGTTTTCATGTCACCAATGTATAACCTTCATATTGTACCATTCAGGTGAATAGCTATTCATGCTCCATTACAGCTTCCTTCACTTGAAGTTTGATTTTACTATGAAATATTTACACACCATATGTAAGAAGTACTTTGCTTACAGTGCTCACCTTTATCTCGTTTGCAACGAGTTGCTGCCCAATTGGCGTCATTAGGAAGCAACGAATCTTTGTTATTTCCAATCAACCGTCCTTTACTTTGTCGATTCATGTACCGTACCTAACTATATGTTTTATATTTTTAGCACCATATCTGTAACATTTTACAAATGCAAGATTTATCTACAGACTTCATGTGCTGGTCCTCAAATTTTAGTAAAACTAGAACACTATTAAAACTATTTTTTTATTTTATCAGGCAAGGCCCACTGAGATATATCGCTCTTTTTCAGAAGCAACCTGGAACATATACCAACCAAATAACTCTAAACGCACGATTCTAAATATGGAGAGAGACATGCAAACTTCAACTATACAGCAGGCGTCAGGGTCGGGATTGAACCCACGACCGCCTGTATACCAGGCGAGGTAGTTAACATCTCGCCACTGTGGCACCAAATGCGCTTAAGCCGAGTTGTGGAGGGTAACATTTATCTTTTTTAAGGACTATCCCAAAATGTCGTTTGTAATACACAAAACAGAATTGCAAATGTGTATAAAGCACCCAGAAGTACATCCTGTTCTAAAGGAGGCTTTCAAAAACCACCACACAATGGTGCAGCAAACAAGCGTGGAGATGAATTCACAACACAGCTCAGCGCTACGCCACTTGCACAGATGCAGATTTCTTTCGCCTCAAAATTTGCAGCACTAAACCTCCAGTGAAAATGTTCCGTTGTGAGGGCTGTAATAACCCTGCAGGACAGTCCAACAAACCCATGTACATACAAGCCCATATGAATCCAAAAACCAGGGTCTGGGTGCACACTATTTTGTAGGACTTAACATAGGTCTCCCACATATGTATTTTTGAGCAAAACAAATAGAGCTTGCAAGCAGTCGATTGGATCTGTACTACACAAGACATTCTTGTAAGATATGACAATTCTACCGTGGGAATTTTTTTTTTAAGTTAATGTGGCTGACATCCTTGAAAATAAACCCAACCAAATATACACCCTGTAAAATACAAACTGTATGCTGCAAAATTAGAATAAGCACGCCTCTTATCCACAGCACTTGTGGCACCAACTAGTGGGAGATACGTATCAGTTTATATTAAAAAGTTCTACGGTATTGTAAAACAAACAATTAAGTCCTTTGAAATTGGAAGGGGCAGAAGGCAGGAGGGAGGATCGGAAGAACATTCCACAAAGAACACACATCTGAATTTCAATCCTTACATGGAGTTGCTGTGAAATTCAGAATTGAGAGGAAGGGGTGGGGGAAGCTTTTTTTTCCCAGCTCTCTTTTACTCACATGAATGCAGCTTGAAAAGCAGCTTGACGATGTAGTCGTACAGGTGGCTGCAGTCCAGAACGACGGGGATGAGCGGTGCCAGTCGGCACTGTCCCGCCGTGGTCATGGACACAGGCCGTGACATGTCCATTGAGCTGAATACTGCCAATGGGAAGCGGCAAGGGTCGGGAGAAGGGGACCGGAGGCAATGTCCAGCCGTTGATTATTCAAGCACTTTCAATGTGCTCTGGGCAGCGTGTTCTGGCATTCTGGCACTGATGAAAGGGTGGCAGATAATGTGTTGAATCATAGATTTATTTTTACTGTTTACATTTTTGGTGACTTTCCAAAAACGAAACTGTTTTTATTTCACTCAACTAAACGATTTTTATTTGACTAGGTAATGCCCACTGAGTTATGCAGTAAACCCTCGCGATTTGCAAGTTTTGCATATTCGCGAGTTACTAAATGTAGCATATTCCCTATTCGCGACCCATTGGACTCAAGTATTCCGAGTGGACATGTCAGACCACTCACACCAGGGTGGTGCGCACAGAATGTTACATTTGAAACTGTCTGTGAAGATTGATTTTCTAGGTGTGACTGATTGCAATGTGGTTTGGTGTCCATTGTATATATATATACACACTGTCCAATCGGAAGAACTGTTGCTCCATGGAAGCTTACCTGGTTTTCAATTATGCCTGTCTGGTGGAGACAACCAGACGGGAATCACATCTCATCTAAGCAAGCTAGTAAGAAATTAATTGGTTCCTCTATTTATGAAACAATAAAACTAAACTATTTTTTAATTTTACCAGGTAAAGCCCAATGAGCTATATAGCTCTTTTTCAGAAGCGACCGGGGCGCAAACGATTGCTCAACGAAGTGTATTATTACGTGGAAATGTATAGCAGCGAAATACTCTAAACACATGTTTCTAAATGTGGAGGGAAAAAAACGCAGGACCCGGAGAAAAAACAATGCGACCACGGGGAGAACATGCAAACTCAAAATATAGAGGCATCAGAGTTGGGATCGAACCCACGACGTATACCAGGCGAGGTAGTTAACATCTCGCAACCGTGGCACCCCTCAGCTTGGTGGACATGACGAAGGGACCTTTGCTTTGTTTAAACAATATTTTACTGGCATAACTCCCAAACAGAGGCAAACAAAAACCGAGGCTGTTTTGTATGTTTTACACACATTGTGCAAGTTGTCCTATGTTTATTACATGATTGGAATCTTAAAACAGTCTGGACATCTGCACTGGATTTATTATTATTGTCAAACAATAACAAGAAGCATTGAGTGAATATATCAAGAAAAAAGTTAGAAGAATATTTGGGGGGGGGGGGAAATTATGTTCAACCTGAGCTTCTCTCACATTATTTTCGAGTGTGCCTACGTGAAGGCATAATAATGCATCGATTAATCCATTTGTAAGGGATGCCGAGAGGCAAACTCTATTTGGAAATAAATAAACATACAGTCACCGGGTTTAAAGGCTCTTGAGTTAGAATTTCACGTCCAACTCTCATGGGCGAGGAGCCATCACAGGAGAAGCCAACGTAGGGCACGCGCAATCAGATTTGAAGGTGAACAACATTCAAATCGAATTGCTCGTCAGGGAAAACCAGCTGGAAATAGGGAGCTAAGTTGGGAGACTCTTAGGAGAAATTAATGAGATTTGTGGCGTCATGGAAAGTTCCAGAAAGGCTGGGGAAGGGTATAAAAGGTGGGATAGAAGGGGGTTCGTGCCACCTGAACGGAGTAATTGCCTGACGTGTGACGTGCTGTATGGAACATGTAATAAAGAACTTCAAGACTATCCCAGCTGCAACTCCTTAACACAGTTTTGGAAATTCTTAAGGTCAAGGCACACGCATCATCAAATGTGCGTAAAAAAAAAATCAATGGTTATTTTTTCATCGCATACCGTACATTGAATGTAACAGTCTCCTATCAGGGTCATGCCAGCAAACCACCAGTGGCAAGAGTAGCAGCTACATTCACAGCAATGTTTAAACATAAAAAATGTGTGACTCACCAGTCTGCATAATATATAACCACATATAATGACCATACAATATTGTATGCCCATTATATACACATGGTAATATATTGCGTACAATAATGTATGGTCATTAAATCTGGTTATATGTTATGAAATAATTTTCATTACATCCAACGACAGCTCTTCAATATAACCAGAGCTGGTTCATTATTATTTAACTGCTTTTATCATCATCATGCAGTACTGAATGAAATAAATGCAGAATTTCGGATGTAGTAAGATATTAAAATAATTCTGCATAGTAATAATTGAAGACGCCTTAGCAGTGACTTGCTATAAATTATGAAAGTGCAGTGCAGGATTAACATTTAGCACTACTTAACGATCAATAAGGTTCGTGTCATGCCACAAAAAAACAATGAACTGCCTGACACACCACAGGATACATCATCATGCCATATGCAAGGGGGATTCTCTAAATAATTAAAAATGAGAAGACTAAATTACAGCCATTTGTCAGTACACTATCAGATGAAGGCCTCCCTATATTCCCTGTCGGGCATGGGAGTTTGTCCATACTTCACCACGCTGGTCACCATATGTTGGTGAAGTGGGGGGGCCCAAAACAAGTTCAGATATTACTCGTCACTGATATTAACCCTGACTGGATATCAAACTCAGGTCACTGGGTTCAATAAGGCATTGCACCGACCACTGCACCACCACTCCCTCAACATTCTAAGAAATATATTTAAAAATTAGTTTAGAACACTGCTAACACTCTCTGCAATTCAACATACAAACAACATTGAATACTTGGTGTCCGAAGTGCATTTGCAGGCATATGGGGAGCTTTAGATAAGAAAGCCTGCTGCTGATGGGAAATTATGTCACGAATACAAACACCACATATAATTTTCAATGAGAGCAAAGTATTTTAAAAGCTAGCTTATAGCTCACGCATTATAAAAATAAGATCACCTGGTGGCCCTAAATACTTTAAGTTTTTATATGTATGGTGAGGCATCAAATGCTCTTTTAATGCCAACTGTCCAATTAATCCATTACAAAATAAATTGCCATTCTTTTCTCATGACAAAAAAACTAATTGTCAATTCATTCGATAGCTTATTGAAACATCAAACGCTTTTTTTTTCATCAAAATTCCATGAATGTGAGCAAAGCAGACGTAATATATCCTCCTTCTCTATGCACTCCCCTAGTGTCCTCACACCTACTTTGTGCAAGAGAGGCTCAACGGCATTAACCTTGCAGTTGAGGGCATGAGAAGCACGTACAATTCTCACCATAGTGACGGGTGACTAGGAGTTGGCCTCATCACTCTTCAAACCAGACTTAAGTTTTGCTATTTCCTCTTCTACACGCCTCTGGCCAATGGCAGGTTCCTGGCTAAAAACTCCCTCCCATCCTGTCTGATCTCGAGCTTTCTTCTGCAATTTACCGTGCGATCTCCTTTCCTTTCTGTATACATCCCTCAAGCGGCATCTTTCCTCGTTTGCCTCTTGACCTCTTTCCCAACATCTTGCCTTTCAGAACTTACTTCAATAATCTGTCACCTCTGAGAAAATGCCCCCAATCCACATTTTTGCTTTTTCAGCATTGTTCTAATTAGACTTCTCATCGCCTGAACCCGATGGAGAACGTCCTCAATACTTCTACTTCCATCCAAATTATTAATTTTTACATTGAAGATCTGCAGATCCGTGCCTTTCACTGTCTGCTGCAAACTGATTGGAGCTTTTCTGGGACAGCTGACCCAAATAAACATATTTTCATTAAAAAAAATTATACCAAAAATGAAAACACCAAAGCCCTACCAATGCTCTGTCTGTTACATTTCCTTTATAAGTGAAAGGGAGTCCACATGATTAATCCTGGTAAAGGAACTTCATTATTATTCCAGCAACACAAAACGCCCACTCGTAGGACGCTTCACCGGCCAAAAGCCCCGTTTCTCTCTCCAAGCATGCCTTTTATTCTCTCTCCCCCGTTCCTTCCAGAACCTTCCAGAATATTCCCTCTCTGCCCCTCCTCCCTCTCTTCTCCAACAAGCACCTTCGCTCTTCCTTCTCCACCACTGACCGTTTGTTACCCCGTCATCCTGCGTTCCCGCCTTTTACCCAAATTGAACCTCCCGGACAATCCAATGCGCCGCGTCCTAGCAACTGTGCATTTATTAATCTATTAATTACCACAAGGTGTCCTTACATGATCCTTACATTTATACATACTGTATAGCCAAAACAAAAGAGGACAATCTACCATTGGTACTAGCCATTTTCAATATCACATAAGGAAAAAGCCTCACATTAAAATTTCCCAAAGTTGTTGATCCACACCAGTTCATGCTCAATTAACTATGAATGGAGATCCAACGCTTCTGTACATTGCAATATGGGACATGATAAAATAATGGGGCCATATCTAACTGTATCTGGGCTCACTATATGAAATGCATCACAATGACCACAAGGTCACTCAAATGTGCGAATGAGCAATCCAGACTGTGTCAAGTCCTTACCAGCATTGAAGAGGATGAGTTCACATTCCAAGTAATCAAACATTTCCACTGTCAGCTGGAAACTGGAAAAATCACAAAAAAGGTATTTTTTAAGTCAAAGCAAACATTGACATTGAAACGTATAATTATAATTTAAATTGATAAAAAGTTCAAACACATTGGATTTTAAATCACGGAAGAGTGTTTTAATGCGAACGGGTTTAATTAGGTTCCTACATTAATAGAAAAAAAAATTCAACGGTATGGTCTCTGGCAAATATCAATAAGTACCAATTTTCTAATTCTCACGGTGAGGGATTTGGGGGAGTGGTTGGGGGTGGGGGTGGGTCACACCTATTGCCTCCTGTTTGGATATGCCACTAAATTAGAAATATCTAACTTTTTGGATTTTACCAGGTAAGGCCCACTGAGCTCTATAGCTCTTTTTCAGAAGCGACCTGACCACAAATGGCAGCTCAACAAAGCAGCTCATCACGTGGAAATTTATTGCAGTCAAATACTCTAAACACTTGTTTCTAAATGTGGAGAGGAAAAAGCAGAGGACCCTGAGAAAAATCCACACTACTATGGGGAGAACATGTAAACTCCAAATATTTAGGCATCAGAGTTGGGATCAAACCCACAAACTCCTGCATAGCTGAAGAGATAGTAAACATCTCGCCACCGCGGGGGCCACTGATTGCCCGTGAAGGCAGAAGGCACATTCACACTGTTCCAGTTTAGCTGTAGCACATGCTTTAACTGGAAAACAGAATCAGCACATCCTAATATTGGTTCTGAAAGATTACCTGATATGCATAACTTGTACGAGCATTAAAGAGGTTCTTATTAAACACCACTTTATATATACAGTGAGGGAAAAAAAGTATTTGATCCCCTGCTGATTTTGTACGTTTGCCCACTGACAAAAAAATGATCAGTCTATAATTTTAATGGTAGGTTTATTTGAACAGTGAGAGACAGGATAACAACAAAAATCCAGAAAAACGCATGTAAAAAAATGTTATAAATTGATTGGCATTTTAATGAGGGAAATAAGTATTTGACCCCCTCTCAATCAGAAAGATTTCTGGCTCCCAGGTGTCTTTTATACAGGTAATGAGCTGCGATTAGGAGCATACTCTTAAAGGGAGTGCTCCTAATCTCAGCTTGTTACCTGTATAAAAGACACCTGTCCACAGAAGCAATCAATCAATCAGATTCCAAACTCTCCACCATGGCCAAGACCAAAGAGCTCTCCAAGGATGTCAGGGACAAGATTGTAGACCTACACAAGGCTAGAATGGGCTACAAGACCATTGCCAAGCAGCTTGGTGGGAAGGTGACAACAGTTGATGCGATCATTCGCAAATGGAAGAAACACAAAAGAACTGTCAATCTCCCTCGGCCTGGGGCTCCATGCAAGATCTCACCTCGTGGAGTTGCAATGATCATGAGAATGGTGAGGAATCAGCCCAGAACTACACAGGAGGATATTGTCAATCATCTCAAGGCAGCTGGGACCATAGTCACCAAGAAAACAATTGGTAACACACTACGCCGTGAAGGACTGAAATCCTGCAGCGCCCGCAAGGTCCCCCTGCTCAAGAAAGCACATATACATGCCCGTTTGAAGTTTGCCAATGAACATCTGAATGATTCAGAGGACAACTGGGTGAAAGTGTTGTGGTCAGATGAGACCAAAATGGAGCTCTTTGGCATCAACTCAACTCGCCGTGTTTGGAGGAGGAGGAATGCTGCCTATGATCTAAGAACACCATCCCCACCGTCAAACATGGAGGTGGAAATATTATGCTTTGGGGGTGTTTTTCTGCTAAGGGGACAGGACAACTTCACCGCATCAAAGGGACGATAGACGGGATCATGTACCGTCAAATCTTGGGTGAGAATCTCCTTCCCTCGGCCAGGGCATTGACAATGGGTCGTGGATGGGTATTCCAGCATGACAATGACCCAAAACACACGGCCAAGGCAACAAAGGAGTGGCTCAAGAAGAAGCACATTAAGGTCCTGGAGTGGCCTAGCCAGTCTCCAGACCTTAATCCCATAGAAAATCTGTGGAGGGAGCTGAAGGTTTGAGTTGCCAAATGTCAGCCTCGAAACCTTAATGACTTGGAGAAGATCTGCAAAGAGGAGTGGGACAAAATCCCTCCTGAGATGTGTGCAAACCTGGTGGCCAATTACAAGAAACGTCTGACCTCTGTGATTGCCAACAAGGGTTTTATCACCAAGTACTAAGTCATGTTTTGCAGAGGGGTCAAATACTCATTCCCCTCATTAAAATGCAAATCTACTTATAACATTTTTGACATGCGTTTTTCTGCATTTTTTTGTTGTTATTCTGTCTCTCACTGTTCAAAATAAACCTACCATTAAAATTATAGACTGATCATGTCTTTGTCAGTGGGCAAACGTACAAAATCAGCAGAGGATCAAATACTTTTTTCCCTCACTGTATATACAATAGCAGTCCACAGCACATATTGACAACCAAGACCACAAGACCCAAGAGAAGCTGTGGCCCCCTCTCAACCCGCCACCTCCTCCCATCAGAAATAAAACGCAAGCAGAGCCACTCGGGCGCTGGAGACAAATGCTCACAAGTTATTAACGTCGTTCTCCCCCGTTGCCTCCAGCTGAGCGTCCGTCATCATGAGGTTCCCGGGGAAGGCTGGGTTCTGTACAGTAAGAGGCCAGAGAACAGCGAGTAAACCAGCGCAACTGACCTCCAACTAGAGCAACTGACCTCCACAAAATTCACACGTAAGAAGGATGACTAGTATACTTAGCACAATGCTGTGTGTGTGTGTGTGCGTCTGCGCTATGAACCCAGCGACCAGACTTCGATTCCCGCTCAGGGCCACCAGTGGCGATTATCTGAATCGGTTCTGGGCCTCCCCCAGGTCGAGTCAGCCTCAAATATGTACCTGGTGCGATGTGTAAAAATGGCCACTGGGGATAAAGGTGACCGGGCGTGGTGCTGGCGACCTACCCCCTGCATGTGATGTTCCGGCCTTCATAGGTGACCGCTAACGACACTTGCCTCAACAGTATGTTGAGGTTATAGAAGATCTTTGTCTTTGGCTGCTCATGTTCACAATTAAACAGCCATAATTGGCAATAATTTTCAATTACATTTCGCAAAACTTAACACCAGCATGTTTCCACTTCATTGAGAATGTTTGTAATATGACGAGTTAAAAGAATAAGAAAGCACCATCTAACTGTGACTGAGAATATTTTTTTAGCAATTCGTTTGGAAATAATGTATTATTAATCACCGTCTGTAAACAGAGCATCGCCAATCGGCTTGTTTACAAGGCAGCCTTCCATTATTTATGGGAATTTGAGATTGCCGGTGGGTTACTAGTTTTTCTAAGCTCTCATTTTAAAATTTCAAATAAATCCGCCTTTGCAAATTAAATCAGTTGAGCCATATATTACACGGAAACATTGCTGTCATATTTCCATGTAACACACTGCATTTTTTATGAAAAAAATCTAATCCAAACATATTCAGGATGTAAATACACCAATATATGTTGAACTGCAATCTGTATTTCCAAAGCAAATAAGCACCATTCTATAAGACTTACAACCAGTCAAAAACAAAAACGTTCACGGCAACCAGATTTCTATACATATTTGGTTATAACTAGGTGTAACAATGCATGTTCCTCGATTATCAATTCTTAAGCATATGAAGGAATCAATATTGTTCCATTCATATGTTTTATGTCATCGCTTCAAATGACCATGCCAGACACTAATGGCTCATACATTCATCAGTGTTAAATATATAATAATTCCAGAATCGAGACAATTGATAGAATCAATCAGTGGAGGGACATTGCTAGATGTCACAAAATACTCCAATAAAATAGGTTAATTTCATATGACTTAGGAATAGGTTTTACCCTTTTAACTGGCACAAAAACTGACACCTTTATTCAAGGCATCATGTTTGCAATAACCACAACACAAGCAGTCAAAATGCAAACAAAAAAGACAACTCTGATAATAATATGCACTGTTTGTGTTGTGGTTATTGCAAACATGATGCCTTGAATAAAGGTGTCAGTTTTTGTGCCAGTTAAAAGGGTAAAACCTATTCCTATATCTTGTTTCTGGCAAAGGAGGTTTCATATGACTTATAACCTGTTTTCCAAACTTCCATTTCTAAACTACTTTGGCTGTGACAAAAACATATTACTTGCTGTGTTAACCGTATTTGGTTTGAAGGTATTGGAAATGTCTTAATACGAGCAAGTATTGGTCATTTGCTGCTCCTGTGGCATGCAATAGTTTCCTTTAAAAGTGACACAAGCTAAATATATTCTATCTATATAAAAATGTGAGACAGGCTGCAAGACTAATGTGCTAACACAACTCATTTCAAATACACACCTTTATATGGAAATCCATCTTGGTAATGAGCAGCTTCACGTACATGCTCACCATCCGGCCATATCCTTCATTCAAATGTCCCTGCAGCACATAAAAGTGCAATTCTCCAAGCATTGTTTTCAATACATTCCCATCATCGTGCAAAGTCTGCCGCTCAGTTGGTTCAGTCACTGTAAAAAGCAGTGGTGTGTACTTTAGCTGATAGATGTATTTCATTTATATCTAAATTAAAACAGCTATTAAGAAGTGTTTTTATTAGGGGAAAAAATGCTTGGAATATTCACACAAAAAATACCACCATGATGGATGCAGTCTGTTAAACTTAAGAAAAATTTGTAAGTTTTATTGAACTATTGGAATTCAAATTTTCATTTATTTTACCTATGAGCAAAATTAAATCAACACTCCATTGAATCATTAAACAAACTTTCAGTCGTTCTATTTCCGCCCACACACTGCAACATTTGTCATGAAGATACTCTACACTTTAAACCCAGGGAGGGATTTTATGGTCACCCTGTATTGTGTTCAGTTATAAATGTACAGTAAACAAAGCATATCCAATTCAGCTAGAAGGTATTCCTCACCAGGGTCACATTGGTCTGTTCATGAGTAATAAGCTCAAGCTTGTGGAAGAAGGGCACTTTACAGCATGGCATGCTAAATTGTGAAATGTTTTTAACTTAACATACTTGAAACACATGCTTCCCGTGCATGAGACATGTTTGATGAGCATGCACATAACAAACTACTCTTAATGGCTTTTCATTTGTTTCAAACAATACAATTGCAACAATGTCACACTGCGGGTCACAATTGAAATGTATAGCATGTGTATAGTAAACAGATACACCGCACACATCTATAGCTTGAGTGTACACACATGCTTCCTTCCATGTGGGGGTAACAATGTTTTCCGGTCACAATCCTACACCCCCCAACCTCCCCAGCTCTGTATTTATACGTTTCCCATTAAACTCTGCAACTCCCACATGTAATTGCGCGGACTTGTAAAAACCGCCGCGCAGAGTGGGGTCTTAATGGCTTTCAGCTGCGCGACGTCAGCGCCCGCACAAGGGCCACGCGTCTCCATGACCGACGGGGGCCCTCGGCCACAGGCCCCGCGAGGGGGCAGTGACGCACGCACGCAGCCGGCTCGGTGGGGGGGGTGGGTGTGGCACGCGAGCTGGCACACAGTGAGTGCGCTGTTCCGCCCGGCCCGGATGATCACGTGAAAAAGGGCAAGTCACAGAGACGCCCCAGTGACTTCACACTCGTCTCACAACGGCCCTTGTTAGACAGCAACCACAGACATGTAAACGCAGACACTGCCAACCCCAATAATGATCGCTCAAGACTCTGAATAAACCCAACCCACTGGTGATGTTAACCTTTCCTATGCAACGATACTTACACAAACACCGTTGGTATTTGGGATATTTGCATGCATACAAATACATTTCCATTCGCATTCACATACGTGCACGTAAAAAAATGGGCCTATCAACCCACCAGGGTTAAAGTAGAATTGGTATTTATTCCTGAACAACTGCTGGCTGCCTGTCAATTGTCTACTCAATATCTATAGCTTCACTTCCAAATCGAAGATTTGATTCTGCACATAGTATCTTGCATGAAAAATCTTGAAAGCAGGTAAACACATTAAATTGAATGTCACCTGTCAGGGGCCACTCATATTACTACACCACTATGTAGTTAATTACAAATAAGGATATAATTACATGGTACAACTATAACCAAAGAACGCAGCTGTAGCAAATTGATAGTGCGTCAAATTCATAATTAATACTGTTCATAATTAATTACATATCAATTGCAGGAAACAAATCGCATAGAGCCGTGTTCATTTGATTCACTATCTGTAACATGCATATACACCGTTGAGACAGCTCATAACTTACCCACATTCTTCCCATGTCATTCAGCTCACTCTTGTAACGCAAGGAATCCTTCAAAACCTGCAAGACAATAATAGCTTTATATGCCAGCTCAACATAAGCCAAGTTATTGTGATGACTCAGACGCATATATTCTAATGCTATGAATTATATAATGTGCTGCAAGTGTGGCATCGCGGCATCCTGATAATGTCAAATGGATTTCTCACAAAACAGCAGCAGACGTGCAGCATTCGATTAACTGAGAGTTCCATTTCAGATTAATGTAAAATATAATATGAAGAATCACTCATTCAACCAAATCCCTAGCATTATCTAGTGGCCAAGTATTTACACGTAACTTCATGCTACACTAAATATCTCGGTGAACATCCACAATATTGAATGAATACAATACATTCTTATTTCACGTCACTTCAGAAGCTATTTAAGGCATTTTTTTACGTTAGACTAATGCTTGGTTTTGTTGAACAATCCATAATTTGCCACTGCAATATGTTAGAAGTGGACTCCAGTGAACTAAACAAATTAATGCAAGACTACATTGCATAGATAATTCTCACAAGAAACAGCATAGAATACATTCCCACATGATGGCGATTGCAACAAGGCCCTCCCTATATACAATCAGTGCTTAAGTAGCAGGGCCAAATGTAGCAAGTATATGGTGCAGGCTCTGAACGCCTAGTCACATGCACAAAATGTTGTTAACCGTATGAATAAATGCATGTTATTTGTAATAGCAAAACATGTCGAACCTTCCTCCAGATCACTTGATTATTTAGAAGCTTTTTTCTAAAGGTAACACATATATGTCTCATAACAGTAAACCCCAGAGGGTGTTGACATTGCGAATGTTCTGTGATCTATAGTTTTACAAAACCTGTGTTAACATGCTGTACATACTCAGGATATTTATATATTTATGTTTCCGCTATTCCTCTGTAACCATACCCATATGCGGAACTGTGAAAACATGTGGCTACATTTCTTGCTGTGCCCCAGGATAGAAGACAGAGGAGAGAGATGACAACAGCGTGACCCAGTGTCTGTGATGCCATGTACTGTGGCTGTGGGGAGCGGTAGTATAGTGGATTTTGAACCCGGCGACCCGAATTCAATTCCCGCTCATGGCCAACACTAGTGACGATTATCTGGGCCGGTCCTGGTCCTCCCCTAGATCGGCTCAGCCTTAAACAAGTACCTAATGCGATGTGTAAACATCGCCACTCAGGAGACAAAGGCGGCCAGGCGTGTTGCTGACCACACACCCCTCTCGTGTGCCTTACTGGCCTTCATCGGTGCTCACTAACAGCACTTTCCCAACAAGTCTGCTGAGGCTATATGGGAGATCTTTGTCTTTTGTGGCTGTGGGCAAAATCGATGCTCCATTACAGACTGCAGTCTGTCTAGAAATGTAACAATGCTTGTAATGTCAAATATTATAAGAATGGGCTGCAAGGTGACCAGGAGGTACAGCAGTAGATTTTTAATCCACTCTCTCATGTGCATGGTGGGTTTTCTACGGGTACTCCGGTTTCCTTCCTTACATTAAATGTAACATTTTACAGGAACGATATTAATAAAGCACACCATCTGGTCATGCACATTAATAATCCAATTAACTTCATTGCAGGAGTTGTATTTTGTATGCCATGCCAGTTGCCAAAATAATCACAACAGCAATATCACTGGCAAAATATGTAAAGGTGAATTGCAGGAAACAGCAAGGACTGGAGGCTTGAGAATCTCTGGTCAAGTTCTGACAAAAACAAGTTATAACCATAAATAGACGCCGTCGTTTATAGGGGTACAAGTTAAGTTACAATTATAGATATGGATTAGCAATACTTAAGGATACAGATTAGGATTAGAGCATGGTTAGGGTTATAGATGGGGGCGGTGGTGCAGTGGTAAGTCCACTGGTTAGCAGATTACATTAAGAACCCAGTGACCCGACGGATTCCCAGCCATGGCTAACATCAGTGCACAAGGCAATAGATTAACTTGCTCTTACCCCCTCTCCCCCTCCTTCACCAACCCAAACTGAGCGGTGTGAAGTATAGTCAAACATCCCCTGTTACTGACATTGTGTTGGGAGGCCTTTATCCAGCAGTGGCTTGGCACAGGGCTGTGAATTATTTTCATAATTAGTTTTTTAAGATTTAGAGATGCACACACGCCCTTGCTCATCCCACAAAATGAACGTGTGCCTTCCAACACACAAGGACATACAGTGAGGGAAAAAAGTATTTGTTCCCCTGCTGATTTTGTACGTTTGCCCACTGACAAAGAAATGATCAGTCTATAATTTTAATGGTAGGTTTATTTGAACAGTGAGAGACAGAATAACAACAACAAAATCCAGAAAAACGAATGTCAAAAATGTTATAAATTGATTTGCATTTTAATGAGGGAAATAAGAATTTGACCCCCTCTCAATCAGAAAGATTTCTGGCTCCCAGGTGTCTTTTATACAGGTAACGAGCTGAGATTAGGAGCACACTCTTAAAGGGAGTGACCCTAAACTCAGCTTGTTACCTGTATAAAAGACACCTGTCCACAGAAGCAATCACTCAATCAGATTCCAAACTCTCCACCATGGCCAAGACCAAAGAGCTCTCCAAGGATGTCAGGGACAAGATTGTAGACCTACACAAGGCTAGAATGGGCTACAAGACCATTGCCAAGCAGCTTGGTGAGAAGGTGACAACAATTGGTGCGATTATTCGCAAATGGAAGAAACACAAAAGAACTGTCAATCTCCCTCGGCCTGGGGCTCCATGCAAGATCTCAACTCGTGGAGTTACAATGATCATGAGAACGGTGAGAATAAGCCCAGAACTACACGGGAGGATCTTGTCAATGATCTCAAGGCAGCTGGGACCATAGTCACCAAATAAACAATTGGTAACACATTACGCCGTGAAGGACTGAAATCCTGCAGCGCCCGCAAGGTCCCCCTGCTCAAGAAAGCACATATACATGCCCGTATGAAGTTTGCCAATGAACATCTGAATGATTCAGAGGACACTGGGTGAAAGTGTTGTGGTCAGATGAGACCAAAATGGAGCTCTTTGGCATCAACTCAACTTGCTATGTTTGGAGGAGGAGGAATGCTGCCTATGACCCCAAGAACACCATCCCCACCGTCAAACATGGAGGTGGAAATATTATGCTTTGGGGGTGTTTTTCTGCTAAGGGGACAGGACAACTTCACCGCATGAAAGGGACGATGGACGAGGCCATGTACCGTCAAATCTTGGGTGAGAACCTCCTTCCCTCAGCCAGGGCATTGAAAATGGGTCGTGAATGGGTATTTCAGCATGACAATAACACACGGCCAAGGCAACAAAGGATTGGCTCAAGAAGAAGCACATTAAGGTCCTGGAGTGGCCTAGTCAGTCTCCAGACCTTAATCCCATAGAAAATCTGTGGAGGGAGCTGAAGGTTCGAGTTGCCAAACGTCAGCCTCAAAACCTTAATGACTTGGAGAAGATCTGCAAAGAGGAGTGGGACAAAATCCCTCCTGAGATGTGTGCAAACCTAGTGGCCAACTACAAGAAACGTCTGACCTCTGTGATTGCCAACAAGGGTTTTGCCACCAAGTACTAAGTCATGTTTTGCAGAGGGGTCAAATACTTATTTCCCTCATTAAAATGCAAATCGACTTATAACATTTTTGACATGCGCTTTTCTGGATTTTTTTGTTGTTATTCTGTCTCTCACTGTTCAAATAAACCTACCATTAAAATTATAGACTGATCATTTCTTTGTCAGTGGGCAAACGTACAAAATCAGCAGGGGATTTTTTTCCATCACTGTATGCGTATGGAAAGAGCGTTGTCACGGCCAGAAGCACAAGTGACCACAGTCAGACAGACGCTCGCACACCAACTCACGTTGTGGTGGCCATCTCGAAGCAGCTTGTGGAACACGTGACAGAACTTCCAGCTCAGCACGGCATTGCTGGACAGCGGCAGCCGATTGACTACGGACCAGAAGGTGTGGGCACCTTTCTCCTGGTACGTGCCCAGGATGCACAGTAAACGAGCAACAGCGTGCTAAGGACAACAGCAAAAATTTGTGAACTATTTTTTTTGTTCGGTGGCTGGTTGGCTCAAGGATCGCAGTGGTGAGCCACACTTCCGATCAGCACGGTTGGCTACATACGGTGCAAGAAAGGAGTTCAATCTACATACATAGGTAACCAATGATATACTTGGTTTCGAATCTGGGTTTCAGTCGCCCATGATTAAACCCAGTTCCCAAGAATAAACAAGGCCTTAACATGGTTAACAAAGACTACGCAAAAAAGCATCAAGTTAACTCAGTTTTCTGTAACTAATTTGGCGCCATGTAAGCAGAGAATTTGAAAATAAACGTATTTTACTGCAATCTCTAAAGCAGGGTATGTGGGGGGAGTGCAGTGCCCACAATGTGATAAAGTGGTTACGAGAAAGGCTATCAAGTAGTTGTGATATCATCTTCTGCAGGCCATTCTCTAACACGGGTGATGCACCTCCTTGAGATTCCAGACAAATACATATCTGGAACTCTTTGCAAGGACTAACTTCATTATCTATGACATGATGCCGTTAGCAAAATTAGCGAATTTCCTGCAATTTTTTTATTCATTCTGAAGCGTACCATCCGGGAATGTGTATGGGTGTGTGGATGTTGAATATAAAGGATATTGCGAGCATGCTTTTCCTTGACAGGAACCTCCTGGCTGTTGATGGCCTTGTTTACGCTCACCGTCTGCAAAAACACACACACAAACACAGGTGCACACTTATTTAGCAGGGCCGACATGACTGCTTGCATGCACATAACTAGATCCAAACATCGCTGTTGATAGAGAAAAATGTGACAACGGAGGATATTACCGAAAATGTTGTAAAAGTATTTTTTTGCGTACATACAGTAGACTTTAAGTTCTAAAACTATAGCACAATCCCAGTAAGGGTGCAGTGGGTGGAAAATAACAAAGCACGGCATCGGCAATTATTGCATAAATATAAAGCACTCAAGAATGCTAAAAGCAGATACGGCATTGATCATGTTGACGTTAACAGAAAACACACGACACCAATGACGGTTGCTGTTTTTGTTCCTCTGAATCTGGACAATTTATTAGTTGCAGGACATATAATTGCAAGGACGAGGTTCATGATCTATATTGGTCTTTACTGGTCTTCATGCTTTAACAAGGCCAGTTTCATCTTATGAATCTAGCTATAGATTTTGCATGGGGTTTTCCAGTATAATGTAACTCATGCAGTTCAGTGGCAAGATGTTAACTCCCTTGCCTGGTATGAAAAAGGTCGTGGGTTCGATCCCAACCCTGACACCTGTATATTTGGAGTTTGCATGTGCTCCCCATGGCTGTGAGGAATTTTGTCTGGGTCCCCCGGCTTTCCTCTCCACATTTAAAAACATGCGTTTAGAGAATTTGGCTGCTATACATTTCCAGATGATAAACCACTTCGTTGAGCTATCATTTTTGACCAGGTCACTTCTTTAAAAACTATGTAGCTCAGTGGCCCTTACCTGGGGAAATAAATATATATAGTTTAGTTTCATAGTATAGCAAATAGAGGAAACAATTCATTTATAGAAAGCTTGCTTGGATGAGATGTGATGGTCATAGTTTCAATAAAGTTGGCTCTACCAGAAAGTCCTAATTGAAAACCAGGTAAGCTTCCATAGAGCAACAGATTTGACGGGGGGGGGGGGGAAAATCCACTAGTAAACGGGAGGTAGGATGGAAACAACCACAACCAGTTAAGGCATTACCTGGTTAATAACATCCTTCCAATGATTGTTCAATTTGTATCCATCTTCTCGGTTGAAGTTATGTCTATGTTTATATATCTGGATGGCTTCCCCGTGTCCCACACTGAGCTTCCCACTTCTAGCCCCGCCCACTTCCCCCCAGCCTCACGTCCTCTTCCCCGAGGGCTCACACAGCCCCCCCTTCCCCTACCCCCTCTCTCTCCCCCCTTGCTTCCCCCGTTCTCACCTATATAACCTCTTGCCACGGCAGCTCTCTCGCCTACTTCAGCATTTTCTTGCCGTGGTTGTTCCACCTGATGAAGATTGCTTGTGTTGCGATCGAAACGTCATGATTTATTTTATTTTATTTCTACCTACGTGACTTTACCGAATGAACCAAAGAGTATGAGTAGAGATTTAATGACAAGGACAAATTAGTGTCTTTCAGGACACAATGTGAGATCAGTGCTAAATGGAATCACCTTCATATAGATGCTATATAATCTATCCTTAAATGCACTTGCCCTAAGAAAATTACAGTTAGTCGCTGTTTTATCAATACCACCCATTTCCTCCCCAACTCCCACGAGAATATCAAGAGTCGTGACAAATGACAGAAGCAGATGAAACAACTGGGCTGTCATTGACCATAAAGGTTAAAAAAGGTGGCTAAATATGCAACTCTCTTCAGCTGTAAGCCAGACGGTAGGGGTTGAAAGGGTGTGTGCGGGCCTACACAGCAGCCTGAAACCTGCAACCCGATGCTGCAACTAAAGACAAACATTCGCGCAAGTCGCTCTAATGACACGATCTGCAGAAAGGTCTACCCCACAAACAAAATAACCCAAATACAGTACGCAAAATATCATCAGATCTCGTACGCCAAGCATGGTCGAACACAAGTAGCGCTCGAATGAGTGACCACCAGGGCTTTCCAGGTATTCCGGACACAGGCTCCGTGGTGTGCTCAGGGGGATGGCAGTCCTGAGGTGTCACCTCCTCACTAGTGTGGGTTTTAGATTTAAAGCTTTCGTGACTGCTAGGATCCATACTCTTTGGTTCAATTGGGTAAAGTCACGTAGGTGAAAATAAAATAACAAAAAATCACGACGTTTCGGCCACAACACAAGCGGCCTTCATCAGGTGAAGGAACGAGACTGTCTGGAGGACAGTGTGGGTTTTCTCTAGGTACTCCAATTTCCTCCCGAACGCCAAACATTCATGAACGGAGTTTGCTAATCACTCCCAAAAGGAGGACCTTTCTGGATTAATATACTTTGAAGGTGTAACAATTAACCGCCCGCCCCCTCACCCATCCAAAATAAGTGCTTTGATCAATTGTTGCGATTCCAGGTTGAGAATTTAAAAAATGTTTGTCTTGACACTGTGGTAAATGTAGCGGCCACTGGTGGCTGCAGAGGGTCACGTGAACCCATTACATACAACATACAAGTAGCCTCGATTCGATGTATGTAATGTTGCCTTAAGAATTTATATTAATCGATTAATCAATGCACCTCTAATATACACAATGTGAGGTTAAAAAACATATACCAAAAAATATATATATGGTGAAGTGGTTCATCACAAGGACCCTCAGGAGACTTGAAATTCAATTTAAAAAATTATACAGTACAGTACATTTCATTCCCTTACAGCAGGAACTATATCACGTTTTCTTCAACAAAAAGGGATAAAACTGAAAATTGGAATTTCATCATATGAAATAAAGTATCCGCAGGCTACTGTTGAATTTAGAATAGTATATCACAATCAATAAATCCCTCTCAGTTATATTTTTATGAGAGCAATGCAAGACAGTGGAGGCAACGCAACACATTGAAAAGTGGTGGTTCACTTTCACTTTTAAACGAATACCTTTTTTTTTTCCCCCTGAAACCATCATGTCATATGCATGAATAATAAATGCAATACATTCTGAACCCACCCACGCCATATGTGCCATGGGGGTTTTAGACCAAACTTCACGATGCTGGTCAGTGCGGGTTGGTGCAGGCAGACGGGTTTCTCACATCACTGACCACTGCTGTTAGCCGTGGCTGGGAACTAAACTCAAGTGGCTGGGTTTATAGCAGAGTGGCGAACCAGTGTTGTACTCGATTCCCATGTCATACATACGAGTAGAAAACAGTACCGTATTACTGGAAAGTATGCTATAGATCATACACGTATTGTATACGCAAGAGGAAGCATGTAACAATCCATCAATTATTTTACTAAGATCGATTATTATGCTCACGATACATGCATTGAATTGTAAATGAGAACCGACTTAGTTTGTTTTAATCAAAAACAATGCAAACTAGACAGTAAAAACCAAAAAATGTTTTGAATTGTGACAATCGCGGTAATGGTACATGCCTACATCACTGTATATGTATTTATACAGCATGTTTATTGAGCATACGGTAATGTTTTATGCCGACGGAACGTAAAACCCAACAGTCCTGTGCACATAAAAAAATTAAAATAATCAATACTACTATTTGCATTGACATTTAAAGGTCAACAGAGCCAGTGCTACGGCAAATTAGCCGAACGTAACGGACAGCAATGTTGATGAGAAAGACAACTGTGCACACTCGAGTCCTATTAAGAACAACTCTAACCTCCTGAGTGTGTAGGCTACGAGTACTGTGGACTGGCTCAGAGCCCTCTGCTCGTAAACAGTTGCTTACCCTTATTAGGTGTAGTTTTATTTTTAATTCCAAAACAACAATTTGTCAAAACAGTGTGCAAAAAAAAAGACTTTCTTTTAAGGCCAGCAGCCTGAACGTCCTTTGGACTTGACCGATCGTCCGTCCCTCCCTCCCTCCAGCCAGCAAAACTTGTTTTCCCTGATAATAGATGATGTCGTTCATCAACGGACCCCCCCCACTCCCCAACGCCCTCCACACCAACCTCACCCTATATCCCCCAGTCGATCCCCCCCCCCCCTCTCACCTGCGCCCCCCTTCGCTCACAACCCTCCCCGATTGCCCCCCAACCGCTGACCAATGCCCCCCCTACCCACGTTTCCCCTCGGTGCCCCCCCTAACCTCCACCGCGTGCCCCCACCCGCATGGCCTCCAGCCAGTAAGTGCGCGCTGGGTGACGAGTGGCCCAGCCAGACAGACAGCAAAAACTTTTTATAATACATTACAACAGCCAGCTATCTCACAGGAAGCTTTAGCATTGATTAACATACATACAAAAAACGACAATTTTTTTACGCAGTAGTTTCTCAACCTTGTTTGGCGACTGTACTCATTGTTTAGTTTTGTTTCAACCAAGTAACCCCCTTGCCTGACCCAACATGAGACTGATAAATAAATGTATGAAAAATGAACAATGTTAACCGATAGTCCATTTTGTGAGGTATCCTAACTAGCTAGCAACTGCAAGCGATTAAAAAAGTTTCAAAAGACGCTCTGCATGCTTGACATCATTTGTTCGCGCTCGCTGGTAAATCTTAGAAACCACATTGGTTACGATCAATGAGTGTAGCAAGGTCTTTTATATCGTTCTAGGTTACATATGGATAAACATCTTATCGTAGTTATATCCTATTGGCAGTTTCATACATGACTATTCAGCAAATACTCTCGTGTATGATATAATTTCACACATTTATAAATTCCCTCGTGTACCCCCTAGGATATTGCCACATCCCCCCCACCCCCAGGGGTCCACATACCCCAGGCTGAGAACCACTGTGTTAACAAGTATAAAGGGAATACTACGTGTACAGTGGGGGAAAAAAGTATTTGATCCCCTGCTGATTTTGTACGTTTGCCTACTGACAAAGAAATGATCAGTCTATAATTTTAATGGTAGGTTTATTTGAACATTGAGAGACAGAATAACAACAACAAAATCCAGAAAAACGCATGTCAAAAATGTTATAAATTGATTTGCATTTTAATGAGGGAAATAAGTATTTGACCCCCTCTCAATCAGAAAGACTTCTGGCTCCCAGGTGT